GAGCGCAAAGGAATGAGAAGGGCAGTGCATGAGCGGGGCAGGAGGGACTGCAGTGCAGCAGTAGCGGCTGGGATCGCCATCACACTGGCATGAGACTTCAGTCGCATGTTGTTGGCAAAGCATGCAGCGGCATGCTTTGCTGCGGACTGCAATTGTAACAGGGGCGCTAGTACTGCAGTGACTATTGAGTTGATTTTACAGTCATCTGCCGGCCGCAGTGACAGGGTGCCACTCACAGGTACTCCAGCGACGTCAGTTTGCTGAGGGAATTCGGAATGGAGCCCGAGAAACCGTTGGTGCTCAGAATGCTGCAAGGAGGGTTGGGGAGACCCGGGAATGATGTTGAGGAAGGCTTATCTTAGCATGTAGCGTCTGCACTGCTCACTAGCCTCGCTCCCTCGCTTTCTCCCCTCTCCGGGGTGCACTGCAGCAAGACGAGGCATATCATATATACCCGCGTAGGGTGGTGCAATGCACGAGAGGGGGCTCACAGGTTGACGAGCGCAGAGAGGCTGCCCAGGGAGGAGGGCAGGGTGCCGCTGAGCTGGTTGGCATCCAGAAGCCTGCAGGGAGCGATGGAGCAGTGGTTTTAGGGCCAGGCAGGCGGATGCCAGGTGAATGGCAGGGATGGAAGGGATGGGCGAAAGAGCAGGTTGGGTCGGGAGGGAAGGAAGTTGCTGTGGCAAGAAATGCTGGCTAATAAATGATGAGCTCGACTCAAAGGCAGGCCGGATGGACGACGGATGGTGGTGGTGGAAGAAGGGAGGGTGGCGAGAGGAGGCTTGGAAGAATCTGAGCACGGCGTTCAGACGGATGGGAATGAGGTGGAGCAGGGAAGAAGGGGGACTGACAGGGATTGAAGGCCTGTTGCACTTCCTACTGTATCGGGTATGTTGCCCGTGAGCTGATTGCCTGAGAGAACCCTGCACGGGGACCATGCACACACGGCGATACAGCACACAGGCACATGCAGGCGGACACGTCCAAATCCATTATTTCAACCCACGGTCATGGTGCAGGCGCAGAGTTGAGGTGAACGTGTGGGGCCAGAAGCTCCAACGTGCAATGCACATGTCTAGAAGGGCGGGAGGGAGGGAGAAAGGACAAATCCGCATGGGCATGGTGCAGTACATGGAGCAGCACATGGTGCAGTACATGGAGCAGCACATGGTGCAGCACATGGTGCAGTACATGGAGCAGCACATGGTGCAGCACATGGAGCAGCTAGTTCACACCCGTTGTGCTGACTGCAGTGGCAGCAACCAGAAGCAATGCGGGGGCGAGTGAGTCTCACACGTGTACGAGATTGGGCAGAGTGAAGAGAGCAGGGGGGAGGGAGCCAGTGAGCTCACTGGACTTGATGTAACTGCGGGAAGGCACAGGTGGATATGAATGGGGAGGACGGAGGGGAGGGAGACAGATGGAGTTAAAGGCAGCAGGGGGAGGTGACGCAAAGCGAATAAGATAATATCAAGGATTTGGAGTCCACTGCTGTCGGCTCCGTGGAACACGAGCCAGACCACGATGTCATGCCATTTGCTACAGCAGAACCCATGTGCCTCCCCACCCATATCATGTCAGTCCCACATGCCATGTCAGTTCCCCATATCATCATGTCAGTTCCCTATGTCATGTCACTCCCACCCATGTCACTCCCACGCATGTCATGTCACTCACCATGCCTTGCTCTGCTCCCACTCACAGCCATGACAGTTCTTCCAGGGCGGTGATGCTCTCAGGAATAGACGCTGATATGTTGCCGTTTCTCACTTCGCTGGAATGCAAGGCGAGGGGAGGGGTGGGGGGAGGAGGGAGGGGGGAAGGGGGTGAGTGGGGGGAAGAGACAGTTGAATGGGAGCGAGGGAAAAAAACGCACAGTGCAGAGCGGCGGCGTGTATCTAATGTTGACCAACCGGGTTATACGTCCCGTTTCCTCAAGACATGCAGTGACAGCCCCAGCATGCATGTCGGGCCGCGGGCCATCATGACACCTACAGTGCAACGACATGCCCGTCGTCGTCGCAGTACACAGCAGCCATGCTGTCGCAGTCCGTGCCTCTGCTCCATGTGGCCGAGCCGTCCAAGCTGCTCCATGCGGATGCCAGATCCTCCAACGCGTCCACTACCATGCACCACATGCCATGCCACACCGTAGCACATGCACGAAATGGGTTTCTTCATTTAAAGGTCCGCTTTTAGCAGGTCCGCTTCTAGCAGGTCCGCTCCTATCAGGTCCGCTCCTAGCAGCTCCGCTTCTAGAATCTCATGAGTCTGACACCGGCTTACTGTCAGGGTCCAACACGGGTGCGGCCTGTGCGAGAGGCATGCAGCAGCGCGCCACCATCAAGGCTACCACCGCCGCCCTCGCAACCTCTCCACGCGCCATCGTCGGTAACCACCTCATCACTCGTAGCGTGCTGATTCCCGCGGCGCGAGGTCGCTAAAGTAGGCGAATGTGATAGGCTTCGGAAAATGATCGTATATTTCAAATAAATCGCGATGTAATGATCCGGCGCTACTGCGTTCCGCGTTACGTCAAGCACGACAACTCGCAAGTCTGGCAATGCGTATGATATCTCCGGCTATAGCGAATGCAGGAAGACAACGAAACCTCAGGTTTCATGTGTTCTCTCGTAGTGTACTGGCTCAAGCACTGTCATCTTGGTATTGCTACTCAACTTGTTGAGACTGGCATCACCGCAATGCATCAGTCGGACGTATTGCACGACACAAGGTTCTCAGTGCTTCTTTCATTTGTGGGTGGGTTGTGTTACAGATTTTTACGATCCATTACCGCAGTGTACCGCTTTGTCCGCCGTCAAAGCTGTAGGCGGTTTGTGTCAGGGCGGTAGTTGCAGCAACCAGCTTGGGGCGTTCACCCAGCCTTTCTGTAATTGGCTGCGAAGCAGGGGTGCGGGCCGCATCAACATTCACCAGCATGCGACACATCTGCACCAGCAGCAGCAGCCCAATTTCCCTCGCTAGAATCGCAGCATACCTGATGGGCAGGTAGCGCATTGTTGGCACTCCAGCAAGGCGGAAAAGTTTCTTGCCTGGCTGGCAGTTCTTGGCTTGGCAAAGCAGCAGAAGACTGGATTTGACCTGCACTGTACCTGCTATGAGTGGACCGCAACCAATATTTCAGTACACCTTTTCTAGTACCTTGTTTCATCACATAGAGTAGTACACCTCTCCAATACAAGGGCAATTTGGATTATCATTTTGATCAATTAGGTCATAGTTTAAGACACCAAAACCAATATCAGAAATAAAAGCACAACACTGTTTGACATTAGATTCTACCTTTTATTTTTCAAGTGTATGATAAATATGTCTTAAAAGACAAAACCAGCGTCTAAAGTCGATGGAACTCGTAGAAGTATTGAAGTATGCGGTGTCAAAGTAAGAACTGAATAATAATAGAACTAGAAGTGGAAACCTAGAACAAGTACTAGTTGGTTGTACTCACTAGAAGCATACCCCAGTCTAGCCTATAACTTGTACGCAGCTAACATGTATAAATTGACACACCCCCTAGGCTAGACAAGAGGTGAAGCTAAGCAAGAAGCAAACAGCTCAGGGTGGCACTACTAGTCCAACCACTGAGGCAGGGGTCTGGAGACCAGTCAGCAAGGGTACAAATAAGACTAAAGCAAGCCAGAGCGACACTACTAGTCCAGCCACTTGAGGTAAGGCCACAAGGCCAGTCTGACAGGCATATATAATAGAGAGTACACAATCAGGATCCTAACAGGTGTGTAGCTACAGGAACAAGACCAAGCTGTACACAGTGCCGCTGATGATCTTTAGGCGCAAGCGCCTTAGTAAAGATATCAGCAGTGTTGGCACCTGAGGCCAAGTGAACTACACGGGCCTGGCGGCGCTGCTGTAGCTCGCGCAGGAGGAAGTACCGCAGCTGGATATGCTTTGCTCTGCCCTCAAGCCGAGGCTCCTGACACAGGAGTATCATGGCCCTGTTGTCAGCGTACAGGACCGGGGCAGAGCTAGGCCGCTCACCTAAGTCTGTGAGCAAGAAGGTCAGCCAGCGGAGCTCCTGTACCGCCATGGCACCAGCGTAGATCTTAGCCTCACAGCTGGACTGAGCCACAGACGACGAGGGAGTGGATCTCCAAGAGATAGCACCCGAACCAAGGCTAAAGCAGTAGCCCTGCGACGACCTGAGCGTCTCAGAGTCGTCTGTCCAAGAAGCGTCTGTGTGCCCAGTAAGGACCACTGGCCTGCGTCCTCCTAGCACTAACCCCATGCCCGATGTACTAGCAAGATAACGCAAAACCCTCTTAGCGGCAGACCAGTCCTGAGGTCGGTGTCTGCCTGTAGCCACAAAGCGAGCCAGGATGCTGAGAGGGTATGCGAGATATGGGCGAGTGCAAGTCATCAGGTACATGAGGCAACCCACGAGCTCTGCGTAGGGGCCACTGGGCTCTACTGGCTCCTGAGGAACGGGAGCGGAGAGCCCATGGTGTACAGGTAGAGGTGTGGGCTGTGCGGAGGAGAACTGAAGACCAAACCTCTGAAGGACCTGACGCACCAAGTGTAACTGTGTCAGAGTGATGGTGCGTGCTGCTCCGTCCCTAGAGATCTGCAGGCCAAGATAGCGACGCAGCTCTCCAAGGTCAGTGCAGGTGTGTCTTTTCAGCAGCTCAGCCTTCACAGAGGCCAGTGCGTCCCTGTCAGCAGTAGCAAAGACCAAGTCGTCTACGTAGACAAGGATGTAGAACGGAGTCTGGCCGGAACGCACAAACAGCAAGGGGTCAGCAGAGGACGGAAAGAACTGCAGGTCTGCTAGCGTGGCACGCAGCGTGTCGTGCCACTCGCGAGGAGCCTGACGCAGGCCGTAGACCGGGCGCCGGAGAAGCCACTGGGTCCTAGGGGGGAAGGTACCAGTGAAGCCCTGAGGTCGACGCAGGTAGACCTGCTCGTGTAGGCTGCCCTGAAGAGAGGCAGTAGAGAAGTCGAGGGAGTGAAGCTCGTAGTCGCGCTATGCTGCTACGTGTAGCAGCGCCCGAAGAGTGGTCATCTTCGGGGTCGGGGCGAAGGTCTGGAAGAAGTCAACCCCCTCGCGCTGGCTGAAGCCTCTGGCCACGTAGCGCGCCTTGAAGACAGGCGGCTCTCCAGGGAGGCACTTCACCTTGAAGAGCCACCGACCATCGACTACGTTCACCCCAGGCGGGGGAACTGCGTCGACGTAAGTGCCGGTGGACCTCCAAGATGCCATCTCCTGCTCCATGGCAGCTATCCACTGAGAGGCCCAGGGTCCCGAGGTGGCCTCAGCGTAGGTGCGAGGGGTCAGGATGTCGAAGGCGTCTGGGTCACCCTCAGGGACTAACAGCATGGAGCAGAGATGGGGAGCAGCCTCCGAAAGGAAAGCAAGCTCGTAGTGCCTGTCCTCTAAGACGTCACTACCAAGGGCAGGAGCACCCCCGACGGACGGAGGATGGGCAGGGTCAGAGACTAGAGCGGTAGTGTAGTCAAGGCGGCAGGTAGAGGCAAATTCAGCGAATGCAGCGACAAGCGCGTCAAGGCGCGAGACAGGAACAGCAGGGTCGGTAACAAGAGAGGCAAGGACCCGAGGGACAAGGGGATAAGCGGGGTGGATTCTAGCGCCTAAAGGGCTTTGCCAAGGTTCCCGCGCTTAGCTAAGCCCGAGGCACGGGGATGAAATCCCAGTCCTGTCAGGCATGTGGCGCTGGGGAGGAGGGAGAGTGATGGCGGCAACAGCTTCAACATAAAGATCTACCCAGGAACCCTGGCGAAATGAGTCCAAACTGCGCTCGACGGAGGGCCAATCAGGCTTGCGGGCTGTGCCAACGCGGAGGGTAAGGCGAGCAAGGAATATCAGAAGTCGCCAAGCTGGCACCGAGTCAGGGTCCTTGGCCAATCGGAGGAGCGGGGTCAGCAGACAGCTGGCGAATTGGTCCCGAATGTGGCGGGGTGGGTGGCGGGCAAGCGGGGGTTGGCGACTGTCGCAAAGGGAAGCGATATTCCAGTTGGCGACTTGGGCGAAAAGGTCATCCCGGACCGCCAGCACCTCGGGCGAGAGGAATTGGGGATTCAGGTTCGGAAAATCCTCGAATTCCGCATTTCTCTGGTTCGGGGCGGCTCGGGCCGCACTCCGCCTCAGGCCCCCTCCTTCCGCAGCACTGTCCTCCCCAGTCACAGACTCGGAGTCCCCCTCGGAAGAAGGGGTATATCTGGAGTCACCCGATCCTTCCTCGCCATTCCCAGCAGCAGCGCCCTCTCCTCCAGCTGCCGACTCCCTTAGTCTAATCTCCGCCCTGCCAGGGCTCTCCGGCCTGGCCTCTGCCCCCGAGATAACAGTCGCGTCAGCCAATCTGCGGCGAACAGCCTGGACGAACGTGCCGCCTGCACCTCCCCGAGCTATACTCCTCCTCGCTCCCCGCCGTTCGCTTCCGCGATTCCCCGGCGTCGACGCGGCGCTAGCCATTGGCGCTCGTCGAGAACGCCCTTGTGGGGTCCACCAGCGAACGCCTCCCCGTGATGGCGTAGTCTCGGTCGTATGGGCAGGGGCAATCCCCGGAACGGCTGTACGGTCGGCGGGCGGGTGGTCGTTGGCCCGCGCGGTCCCCTGAGCCGCGCTACCGCTCGCGGACGCCCGAGTGGCGGAGCCCACCCCGCCGTCTGCCAGTGCGTGATTTGCGCCGGCGTGGGTCTCGGAGGCCATCGCGTCCCCCGCAGCATGGCCCGCAGGTGCAGCGAGGGGGCTCAGCCGCCCGCTCCCCGAGCGTCAACGAAGTTGTCGCTCGGGTGCTTGCACGCTTGCCTGCGGTAATCTAGGCATTGGCAGCACCGGCTGCCCCAGCACCAGTGCCGGCGGCTCCCGCAGCTCCCCCTCCAGCGGCTCCCGTGACTCTCCTGCCAGGAGTAGTGGCGGCGCCGGCGCAGCTTCCCCCTGCCTGGCCGCCGCAGGGGCCCCCAGTTCCTGGGATCTTGTATCGAGTGGAACCCCCCTGGGTTCCAGGGCTGGGGGGGACTCCGCCAGTGATGCAGACTCCGGTTCCGCCAGCGGCAATTCCTCCGCCCCCACCGCCGCCGCCTCCTCCCAGCGCTCAGCCGCTTGCGGCGCCAGCACCGTTCCCAGCAGGGCAGGCTCCGCCTCCTCAGGAAGTGGGCCAGGAAGGGGCGGGGACCGGCGAGCAGGGGGAGAACGGTGGGTGGGAGGACCACTCTGGACTGACGGCAGGAAGTCACGGGCGCACGCGTCAGCGGACGGGGGAGTTTCCCCCAGGCCACGCGAGGAGCGGGCAACCAGTGCCCGAGGCGGCGATCCGGGCAGCGGCGGAGGACACGCTTCGGCGTCTGGACTCAGCCAGGGACTGCCTCGCGCGCTTGACGACGGTGGTGGGGGTGTCGGGGTATGCCCTCGGCTGCGCTGAACAGGAGGGGTTGCTGTCGGAGAGGCAGGCGGTTGCGTACGCGACACAGGCAGCAGCGGCGAGGGCGGCGCTGACCGCCGCGTGGCCCGGGCTCGCTCAGGGAATACCGCTGCCGGTGGGGCCCGCCGTCGTCCTGGCGGATCTGGAGGACAAGCTGGAAGGGGCGCAAGCTGTAGAAGTAATCGACGGCGCCGTGTCAGTATTCCGGGAGTTGGAGCGCGCCGTGTATTGTCTGCTGGAGGATCTCCGCGCAGCGAGGTAGCGGGAGATCGCCGACCGGCGTAATGCTGGTCCGCGGGCGTTAGTCGCCCTGCCAGTGCTTCAAGCGTGGGTACCTGCATAATTAAGGGACGCCAGGGACCCCCATGCCTGGAAACCGCCTAGAAGGCCCGCTTGTATGTTGTTGTTGTAGAGATGACAGGTCCGTAGCTTCTTGCCGTCCCCTAACGCGCGGCCGCAGGCTGCGCCGCGAGCGACGGCGGCCTACGGCCGCCGGTGCGAGCCGCTACCAGCAAGTAGATGAGAAATGAACTGAGAACTAACCAAGGAGTCAGGAGACAGGAGGAGCTTATATAGGCTCAGGAGCAAGGCTCAGGGGCTCTTTCCTCTCCCCCTCCCTCCCTCCCTTTCTTCGTCCCCCCATGCACTTCCCCTGACCTACCACTCCCCATCTGGCCTTACCCGCCCTCTCCCGCCCTGTGCCTTCAACTCACAGCGCCTCCAGGTTGGTGACATTGCCCAGGGAGTCCGGTATTTGCCCTGTAAACCCATTGTACTGCAGCACGCTGGCACAGGGCCAAGGCAGCATGGGGGGAGTGGGGGGAAGGAGGGGGGAGGGCAGCAAGCAGAGGGGTGGGTGGGGGATTTGTGGGAGGAGCCGTGAGATGAGGACGAGAGGGTTGCGTTGGGAACAGGGGCAGCAGGGGTGGTGGATGTGACAGCGAAGCATACATATCAACGGATGCAAGAGCAAAGGGCAAGAGCGGGACACGTACAGGTGCTTGAGGCCAGGGCTATTGCTGATAAAGGCAGGGATGGAGCCAGACAGCGCATTGGCGTCCAAGTATCTGCGGTCAGGGCAGGTTCGCAAGCAGAGGCGAGTGCAGAGAATAGAATGTGGTGCACGTGACTGCACGGACTGGCTGGAGCAGCCAGGCAGCATTAGGCAGGAGCGCAAAGGAATGAGAAGGGCAGTGCATGAGCGGGGCAGGAGGGACTGCAGTGCAGCAGTAGCGGCTGGGATCGCCATCACACTGGCATGAGACTTCAGTCGCATGTTGTTGGCAAAGCATGCAGCGGCATGCTTTGCTGCGGACTGCAATTGTAACAGGGGCGCTAGTACTGCAGTGACTATTGAGTTGATTTTACAGTCATCTGCCGGCCGCAGTGACAGGGTGCCACTCACAGGTACTCCAGCGACGTCAGTTTGCTGAGGGAATTCGGAATGGAGCCCGAGAAACCGTTGGTGCTCAGAATGCTGCAAGGAGGGTTGGGGAGACCCGGGAATGATGTTGAGGAAGGCTTATCTTAGCATGTAGCGTCTGCACTGCTCACTAGCCTCGCTCCCTCGCTTTCTCCCCTCTCCGGGGTGCACTGCAGCAAGACGAGGCATATCATATATACCCGCGTAGGGTGGTGCAATGCACGAGAGGGGGCTCACAGGTTGACGAGCGCAGAGAGGCTGCCCAGGGAGGAGGGCAGGGTGCCGCTGAGCTGGTTGGCATCCAGAAGCCTGCAGGGAGCGATGGAGCAGTGGTTTTAGGGCCAGGCAGGCGGATGCAGGTGAATGGCAGGGATGGAAGGGATGGCGAAAGAGCAGGTTGGGTCGGGAGGGAAGGAAGTTGCTGTGGCAAGAAATGCTGGCTAATAAATGATGAGCTCGACTCAAGGCAGGCCGGATGGACGACGGATGGTGGTGGTGGAAGAAGGGAGGGTGGCGAGAGGAGGCTTGGAAGAATCTGAGCACGGCGTTCAGACGGATGGGAATGAGGTGGAGCAGGGAAGAAGGGGGACTGACAGGGATTGAAGGCCTGTTGCACTTCCTACTGTATCGGGTATGTTGCCCCGTGAGCTGATTGCCTGAGAGAACCCTGCACGGGGACCATGCACACACCGGCGATACAGCACACAGGCACATGCAGGCGGACACGTCCAAATCCATTATTTCAACCCACGGTCATGGTGCAGGCGCCAGAGTTGAGGGTGAACGTGTGGGGCCAGAAGCTCCAACGTGCAATGCACATGTCTAGAAGGGCGGGAGGGAGGGAGAAAGGACAAATCCGCATGGGCATGGTGCAGTACATGGAGCAGCACATGGTGCAGTACATGGAGCAGCACATGGTGCAGCACATGGTGCAGTACATGGAGCAGCACATGGTGCAGCACATGGAGCAGCTAGTTCACACCCGTTGTGCTGACTGCAGTGGCAGCAACCAGAAGCAATGCGGGGGCGAGTGAGTCTCACACGTGTACGAGATTGGGCAGAGTGAAGAGAGCAGGGGGGAGGGAGCCAGTGAGCTCACTGGACTTGATGTAACTGCGGGAAGGCACAGGTGGATATGAATGGGGAGGACGGAGGGGAGGGAGACAGATGGAGTTAAAGGCAGCAGGGGGAGGTGACGCAAAGCGAATAAGATAATATCAAGGATTTGGAGTCCACTGCTGTCGGCTCCGTGGAACACGAGCCAGACCACGATGTCATGCCATTTGCTACAGCAGAACCCATGTGCCTCCCCACCCATATCATGTCAGTCCCACATGCCATGTCAGTTCCCCATATCATCATGTCAGTTCCCTATGTCATGTCACTCCCACCCATGTCACTCCCACGCATGTCATGTCACTCACCATGCCTTGCTCTGCTCCCACTCACAGCCATGACAGTTCTTCCAGGGCGGTGATGCTCTCAGGAATAGACGCTGATATGTTGCCGTTTCTCACTTCGCTGGAATGCAAGGCGAGGGGAGGGGTGGGGGAGGAGGGAGGGGGAAGGGGGTGAGTGGGGGGAAGAGACAGTTGAATGGGAGCGAGGGAAAAAAACGCACAGTGCAGAGCGGCGGCGTGTATCTAATGTTGACCAACCGGGTTATACGTCCCGTTTCCTCAAGACATGCATGACAGCCCCAGCATGCATGTCGGGCCGCGGGCCATCATGACACCTACAGTGCAACGACATGCCGTCGTCGTCGCAGTACACAGCAGCCATGCTGTCGCAGTCCGTGCCTCTGCTCCATGTGGCCGAGCCGTCCAAGCTGCTCCATGCGGATGCCAGATCCTCCAACGCGTCCACTACCATGCACCACATGCCATGCCACACCGTAGCACATGCACGAAATGGGTTTCTTCATTTAAAGGTCCGCTTTTAGCAGGTCCGCTTCTAGCAGGTCCGCTCCTATCAGGTCCGCTCCTAGCAGCTCCGCTTCTAGAATCTCATGAGTCTGACACCGGCTTACTGTCAGGGTCCAACACGGGTGCGGCCTGTGCGAGAGGCATGCAGCACGCGCCACCATCAAGGCTACCACCGCCGCCCTCGCAACCTCTCCACGCGCCATCGTCGGTAACCACCTCATCACTCGTAGCGTGCTGATTCCCGCCGGCGCGAGGTCGCTAAAGTAGGCGAATGTGATAGGCTTCGGAAAATGATCGTATATTTCAAATAAATCGCGATGTAATGATCCGGCGCTACTGCGTTCCGCGTTACGTCAAGCACGACAACTCGCAAGTCTGGCAATGCGTATGATATCTCCGGCTATAGCGAATGCAGGAAGACAACGAAACCTCAGGTTTCATGTGTTCTCTCGTAGTGTACTGGCTCAAGCACTGTCATCTTGGTATTGCTACTCAACTTGTTGAGACTGGCATCACCGCAATGCATCAGTCGGACGTATTGCACGACACAAGGTTCTCAGTGCTTCTTTCATTTGTGGGTGGGTTGTGTTACAGATTTTTACGATCCATTACCGCAGTGTACCGCTTTGTCCGCCGTCAAAGCTGTAGGCGGTTTGTGTCAGGGCGGTAGTTGCAGCAACCAGCTTGGGGCGTTCACCCAGCCTTTCTGTAATTGGCTGCGAAGCAGGGGTGCGGGGCCGCATCAACATTCACCAGCATGCGACACATCTGCACCAGCAGCAGCAGCCCAATTTCCCTCGCTAGAATCGCAGCATACCTGATGGGCAGGTAGCGCATTGTTGGCACTCCAGCAAGGCGGAAAAGTTTCTTGCCTGGCTGGCAGTTCTTGGCTTGGCAAAGCAGCAGAAGACTGGATTTGACCTGCACTGTACCTGCTATGAGTGGACCGCAACCAATATTTCAGTACACCTTTTCTAGTACCTTGTTTCATCACATAGAGTAGTACACCTCTCCAATACAAGGGCAATTTGGATTATCATTTGATCAATTAGGTCATAGTTTAAGACACCAAAACCAATATCAGAAATAAAAGCACAACACTGTTTGACATTAGATTCTACCTTTTATTTTTCAAGTGTATGATAAATATGTCTTAAAAGACAAAACCAGCGTCTAAAGTCGATGGAACTCGTAGAAGTATTGAAGTATGCGGTGTCAAAGTAAGAACTGAATAATAATAGAACTAGAAGTGGAAACCTAGAACAAGTACTAGTTGGTTGTACTCACTAGAAGCATACCCCAGTCTAGCCTATAACTTGTACGCAGCTAACATGTATAAATTGACACACCCCCTAGGCTAGACAAGAGGTGAAGCTAAGCAAGAAGCAAACAGCTCAGGGTGGCACTACTAGTCCAACCACTGAGGCAGGGGTCTGGAGACCAGTCAGCAAGGGTACAAATAAGACTAAAGCAAGCCAGAGCGACACTACTAGTCCAGCCACTTGAGGTAAGGCCACAAGGCCAGTCTGACAGGCATATATAATAGAGAGTACACAATCAGGATCCTAACAGGTGTGTAGCTACAGGAACAAGACCAAGCTGTACACAGTGCCGCTGATGATCTTTAGGCGCAAGCGCCTTAGTAAAGATATCAGCAGTGTTGGCACCTGAGGCCAAGTGAACTACACGGGCCTGGCGGCGCTGCTGTAGCTCGCGCAGGAGGAAGTACCGCAGCTGGATATGCTTTGCTCTGCCCTCAAGCCGAGGCTCCTGACACAGGAGTATCATGGCCCTGTTGTCAGCGTACAGGACCGGGGCAGAGCTAGGCCGCTCACCTAAGTCTGTGAGCAAGAAGGTCAGCCAGCGGAGCTCCTGTACCGCCATGGCACCAGCGTAGATCTTAGCCTCACAGCTGGACTGAGCCACAGACGACGAGGGAGTGGATCTCCAAGAGATAGCACCCGAACCAAGGCTAAAGCAGTAGCCCTGCGACGACCTGAGCGTCTCAGAGTCGTCTGTCCAAGAAGCGTCTGTGTGCCCAGTAAGGACCACTGGCCTGCGTCCTCCTAGCACTAACCCCATGCCCGATGTACTAGCAAGATAACGCAAAACCCTCTTAGCGGCAGACCAGTCTGAGTCGGTGTCTGCCTGTAGCCACAAAGCGAGCCAGGATGCTGAGAGGGTATGCGAGATATGGGCGAGTGCAAGTCATCAGGTACATGAGGCAACCCACGAGCTCTGCGTAGGGGCCACTGGGCTCTACTGGCTCCTGAGGAACGGGAGCGGAGAGCCCATGGTGTACAGGTAGAGGTGTGGGCTGTGCGGAGGAGAACTGAAGACCAAACCTCTGAAGGACCTGACGCACCAAGTGTAACTGTGTCAGAGTGATGGTGCGTGCTGCTCCGTCCCTAGAGATCTGCAGGCCAAGATAGCGACGCAGCTCTCCAAGGTCAGTGCAGGTGTGTCTTTTCAGCAGCTCAGCCTTCACAGAGGCCAGTGCGTCCCTGTCAGCAGTAGCAAAGACCAAGTCGTCTACGTAGACAAGGATGTAGACGGAGTCTGGCCGGAACGCACAAACAGCAAGGGGTCAGCAGAGGACGGAAAGAACTGCAGGTCTGGCTAGCGTGGCACGCAGCGTGTCGTGCCACTCGCGAGGAGCCTGACGCAGGCCGTAGACCGGGCGCCGGAGAAGCCACTGGGTCCTAGGGGGAAGGTACCAGTGAAGCCCTGAGGTCGACGCAGGTAGACCTGCTCGTGTAGGCTGCCCTGAAGAGAGGCAGTAGAGAAGTCGAGGGAGTGAAGCTCGTAGTCGCGCTATGCTGCTACGTGTAGCAGCGCCCGAAGAGTGGTCATCTTCGGGGTCGGGGCGAAGGTCTGGAAGAAGTCAACCCCCTCGCGCTGGCTGAAGCCTCTGGCCACGTAGCGCGCCTTGAAGACAGGCGGCTCTCCAGGGAGGCACTTCACCTTGAAGAGCCACCGACCATCGACTACGTTCACCCCAGGCGGGGGAACTGCGTCGACGTAAGTGCCGGTGGACCTCCAAGATGCCATCTCCTGCTCCATGGCAGCTATCCACTGAGAGGCCCAGGGTCCCGAGGTGGCCTCAGCGTAGGTGCGAGGGGTCAGGATGTCGAAGGCGTCTGGGTCACCCTCAGGGACTAACAGCATGGAGCAGAGATGGGGAGCAGCCTCCGAAAGGAAAGCAAGCTCGTAGTGCCTGTCCTCTAAGACGTCACTACCAAGGGCAGGAGCACCCCCGACGGACGGAGGATGGGCAGGGTCAGAGACTAGAGCGGTAGTGTAGTCAAGGCGGCAGGTAGAGGCAAATTCAGCGAATGCAGCGACAAGCGCGTCAAGGCGCGAGACAGGAACAAGCGGGTCGGTAACAAGAGAGGCAAGGACCCGAGGGACAAGGGGATAAGCGGGGTGGATTCTAGCGCCTAAAGGGCTTTGCCAAGGTTCCCGCGCTTAGCTAAGCCCGAGGCACGGGGATGAAATCCCAGTCCTGTCAGGCATGTGGCGCTGGGGAGGAGGGAGAGTGATGGCGGCAACAGCTTCAACATAAAGATCTACCCAGGAACCCTGGCGAAATGAGTCCAAACTGCGCTCGACGGAGGGCCAATCAGGCTTGCGGGCTGTGCCAACGCGGAGGGTAAGGCGAGCAAGGAATATCAGAAGTCGCCAAGCTGGCACCGAGTCAGGGTCCTTGGCCAATCGGAGGAGCGGGGTCAGCAGACAGCTGGCGAATTGGTCCCGAATGTGGCGGGGTGGGTGGCGGGCAAGCGGGGGTTGGCGACTGTCGCAAAGGGAAGCGATATTCCAGTTGGCGACTTGGGCGAAAAGGTCATCCCGGACCGCCAGCACCTCGGGCGAGAGGAATTGGGGATTCAGGTTCGGGAAAATCCTCGAATTCCGCATTTCTCTGGTTCGGGGCGGCTCGGGCCGCACTCCGCCTCAGGCCCCTCCTTCCGCAGCACTGTCCTCCCCAGTCACAGACTCGGAGTCCCCCTCGGAAGAAGGGGTATATCTGGAGTCACCCGATCCTTCCTCGCCATTCCCAGCAGCAGCGCCCTCTCCTCCAGCTGCCGACTCCCTTAGTCTAATCTCCGCCCTGCCAGGGCTCTCCGGCCTGGCCTCTGCCCCCGAGATAACAGTCGCGTCAGCCAATCTGCGGCGAACAGCCTGGACGAACGTGCCGCCTGCACCTCCCCGAGCTATACTCCTCCTCGCTCCCCGCCGTTCGCTTCCGCGATTCCCCGGCGTCGACGCGGCGCTAGCCATTGGCGCTCGTCGAGAACGCCCTTGTGGGGTCCACCAGCGAACGCCTCCCCGTGATGGCGTAGTCTCGGTCGTATGGGCAGGGGCAATCCCCGGAACGGCTGTACGGTCGGCGGGCGGGTGGTCGTTGGCCCGCGCGGTCCCCTGAGCCGCGCTACCGCTCGCGGACGCCCGAGTGGCGGAGCCCACCCCGCCGTCTGCCAGTGCGTGATTTGCGCCGGCGTGGGTCTCGGAGGCCATCGCGTCCCCCGCAGCATGGCCCGCAGGTGCAGCGAGGGGGCTCAGCCGCCCGCTCCCCGAGCGTCAACGAAGTTGTCGCTCGGGTGCTTGCACGCTTGCCTGCGGTAATCTAGGCATTGGCAGCACCGGCTGCCCCAGCACCAGTGCCGGCGGCTCCCGCAGCTCCCCCTCCAGCGGCTCCCGTGACTCTCCTGCCAGGAGTAGTGGCGGCGCCGGCGCAGCTTCCCCCTGCCTGGCCGCCGCAGGGGCCCCCAGTTCCTGGGATCTTGTATCGAGTGGAACCCCCTGGGTTCCAGGGCTGGGGGGGACTCCGCCAGTGATGCAGACTCCGGTTCCGCCAGCGGCAATTCCTCCGCCCCCACCGCCGCCGCCTCCTCCCAGCGCTCAGCCGCTTGCGGCGCCAGCACCGTTCCCAGCAGGGCAGGCTCCGCCTCCTCAGGAAGTGGGCCAGGAAGGGGCGGGGACCGGCGAGCAGGGGAGAACGGTGGGTGGGAGGACCACTCTGGACTGACGGCAGGAAGTCACGGGCGCACGCGTCAGCGGACGGGGGAGTTTCCCCCAGGCCACGCGAGGAGCGGGCAACCAGTGCCCGAGGCGGCGATCCGGGCAGCGGCGGAGGACACGCTTCGGCGTCTGGACTCAGCCAGGGACTGCCTCGCGCGCTTGACGACGGTGGTGGGGGTGTCGGGGTATGCCCTCGGCTGCCGCTGAACAGGAGGGGTTGCTGTCGGAGAGGCAGGCGGTTGCGTACGCGACACAGGCAGCAGCGGCGAGGGCGGCGCTGACCGCCGCGTGGCCCGGGCTCGCTCAGGGAATACCGCTGCCGGTGGGGCCCGCCGTCGTCCTGGCGGATCTGGAGGACAAGCTGGAAGGGGCGCAAGCTGTAGAAGTAATCGACGGCGCCGTGTCAGTATTCCGGGAGTTGGAGCGCGCCGTGTATTGTCTGCTGGAGGATCTCCGCGCAGCGAGGTAGCGGGAGATCGCCGACCGGCGTAATGCTGGTCCGCGGGCGTTAGTCGCCCTGCCAGTGCTTTCAAGCGTGGGTACCTGCATAATTAAGGGACGCAGGGACCCCCATGCCTGGAAACCGCCTAGAAGGCCCGCTTGTATGTTGTTGTTGTAGAGATGACAGGTCCGTAGCTTCTTGCCGTCCCTAACGCGCGGCCGCAGGCTGCGCCGCGAGCGACGGCGGCCTACGGCCGCCGGTGCGAGCCGCTACCAGCAAGTAGATGAGAAATGAACTGAGAACTAACCAAGGAGTCAGGAGACAGGAGGAGCTTATATAGGCTCAGGGAGCAAGGCTCAGGGGCTCTTTCCTCTCCCCCTCCCTCCCTCCCTTTCTTCGTCCCCCCCATGCACTTCCCCTGACCTACCACTCCCCCATCTGGCCTTACCCGCCCTCTCCCGCCCTGTGCCTTCAACTCACAGCGCCTCCAGGTTGGTGACATTGCCCCAGGGAGTCCCGGTATTTTGCCCCTGTAAACCCATTGTACTGCAGCACGCTGGCACAGGGCCAAGGCAGCATGGGGGAGTGGGGGGAAGGAGGGGGGAGGGCAGCAAAGCAGAGGGGTGGGTGGGGGATTTGGTGGGAGGAGCCGTGAGATGAGGACGAGAGGGTTGCGTTGGGAACAGGGGCAGCAGGGGTGGGTGGATGTGACAGCGAAGCCATACATATCAACGGATGCAAGAGCAAAGGGGCAAGAGCGGGACACGTACAGGTGCTTGAGGCCAGGGCTATTGCTGATAAAGGCAGGGATGGAGCCAGACAGCGCATTGGCGTCCAAGTATCTGCGGTCAGGGCAGGTTCGCAAGCAGAGGCGAGTGCAGAGAATAGAATGTGGTGCACGTGACTGCACGGACTGGCTGGAGCAGCCAGGCAGCATTAGGCAGGAGCGCAAAGGAATGAGAAGGGCAGTGCATGAGCGGGGCAGGAGGGACCTGCAGTGCAGCAGTAGCGGCTGGGATCGCCATCACACTGGCATGAGACTTCAGTCGCATGTTGTTGGCAAAGCATGCAGCGGCATGCTTTGCTGCGGACTGCAATTGTAACAGGGGGCGCTAGTACTGCAGTGACTATTGAGTTGATTTTACAGTCATCTGCCGGCCGCAGTGACAGGGTGCCACTCACAGGTACTCCAGCGACGTCAGTTTGCTGAGGGAATTCGGAATGGAGCCCGAGAAACCCGTGGTGCTCAGAATGCTGCAAGGAGGGTTGGGGAGACCCCGGGAATGATGTTGAGGAAGGCTTATCTTAGCATGTAGCGTCTGCACTGCTCACTAGCCTCGCTCCCTCGGCTTTCCTCCCCTCTCCGGGGTGCACTGCAGCAAGACGAGGCATATCATATATACCCGCGTAGGGTGGTGCAATGCACGAGAGGGGGCTCACAGGTTGACGAGCGCAGAGAGGCTGCCCAGGGAGGAGGGCAGGGTGCCGCTGAGCTGGTTGGCATCCAGAAGCCTGCAGGGAGCGATGGAGCAGTGGTTTTAGGGCCAGGCAGGCGGATGCCAGGTGAATGGCAGGGATGGAAGGGATGGGCGAAAGAGCAGGTTGGGTCGGGAGGGAAGGAAGTTGCTGTGGCAAGAAATGCTGGCTAATAAATGATGAGCTCGACTTCAAAGGCAGGCCGGATGGACGACGGATGGTGGTGGTGGAAGAAGGGAGGGTGGCGAGAGGAGGCTTGGGAAGAATCTGAGCACGGCGTTCAGACGGATGGGAATGAGGTGGAGCAGGGAAGAAGGGGGACTGACAGGGATTGAAGGCCTGTTGCACTTCCTACTGTATCGGGTATGTTGCCCGTGAGCTGATTGCCTGAGAGAACCCTGCACGGGGACCATGCACACACGGCGATACAGGCACACAGGCACATGCAGGCGGACACGTCCAAATCCATTATTTCAACCCACGGTCATGGTGCAGGCGCAGAGTTGAGGTGAACGTGTGGGGCCAGAAGCTCCAACGTGCAATGCACATGTCTAGAAAGGGCGGGAGGGAGGGAGAAAGGACAAATCCGCATGGGCATGGTGCAGTACATGGAGCAGCACATGGTGCAGTACATGGAGCAGCACATGGTGCAGGCACATGGTGCAGTACATGGAGCAGCACATGGTGCAGCACATGGAGCAGCTAGTTCACACCCGTTGTGCTGACTGCAGTGGCAGCAACCAGAAGCAATGCGGGGGCGAGTGAGTCTCCACACGTGTACGAGATTGGGCAGAGTGAAGAGAGCAGGGGGGAGGGAGCCAGTGAGCTCACTGGACTTGATGTAACTGCGGGAAGGCACAGGTGGATATGAATGGGGAGGACGGAGGGGAGGGAGACAGATGGAGTTAAAGGCAGCAGGGGGAGGTGACGCAAAGCGAATAAGATAATATCAAGGATTTGGAGTCCACTGCTGTCGGCTCCGTGGAACACGAGCCAGACCACGATGTCATGCCATTTGCTACAGCAGAACCCATGTGCCTCCCCACCCATTATCATGTCAGTCCCACATGCCATGTCAGTTCCCCATATCATCATGTCAGTTCCCTATGTCATGTCACTCCCACCCATGTCACTCCCACGCATGTCATGTCACTCACCATGCCTTGCTCTGCTCCCACTCACAGCCATGACAGTTCTTCCAGGGCGGTGATGCTCTCAGGAATAGACGCTGATATGTTGCCGTTTCTCACTTCGCTGGAATGCAAGGCGAGGGGAGGGGTGGGGGAGGAGGGAGGGGGGAAGGGGGTGAGTGGGGGGAAGAGACAGTTGAATGGGAGCGAGGGAAAAAAACGCCACAGTGCAGAGCGGCGGCGTGTATCTAATGTTGACCAACCGGGTTATACGTCCCGTTTCCTCAAGACATGCAGTGACAGCCCCAGCATGCATGTCGGGCCGCGGGCCATCATGACACCTACAGTGCAACGACATGCCCGTCGTCGTCGCAGTACACAGCAGCCATGCTGTCGCAGTCCGTGCCTCTGCTCCATGTGGCCGAGCCGGTCCAAGCTGCTCCATGCGGATGCCAGATCCTCCAACGCGTCCACTACCATGCACCACATGCCATGCCACACCGTAGCACATGCACGAAATGGGTTTCTTCATTTAAAGGTCCGCTTTTAGCAGGTCCGCTTCTAGCAGGTCCGCTCCTATCAGGTCCGCTCCTAGCAGCTCCGCTTCTAGAATCTCATGAGTCTGACACCGGCTTACTGTCAGGGTCCAACACGGGTGCGGCCTGTGCGAGAGGCATGCCAGCAGCGCGCCACCATCAAGGCTACCACCGCCGCCCTCGCAACCTCTCCACGCGCCATCGTCGGTAACCACCTCATCACTCGTAGCGTGCTGATTCCCGCGGCGCGAGGTCGCTAAAGTAGGCGAATGTGATAGGCTTCGGAAAATGATCGTATATTTCAAATAAATCGCGATGTAATGATCCGGCGCTACTGCGTTCCGCGTTACGTCAAGCACGACAACTCGCAAGTCTGGCAATGCGTATGATATCTCCGGCTATAGCGAATGCAGGAAGACAACGAAACCTCAGGTTTCATGTGTTCTCTCGTAGTGTACTGGCTCAAGCACTGTCATCTTGGTATTGCTACTCAACTTGTTGAGACTGGCATCACCGCAATGCATCAGTCGGACGTATTGCACGACACAAGGTTCTCAGTGCTTCTTTCATTTGTGGGTGGGTTGTGTTACAGATTTTTACGATCCATTACCGCAGTGTACCGCTTTGGTCCGCCGTCAAAGCTGTAGGCGGTTTGTGTCAGGGCGGTAGTTGCAGCAACCAGCTTGGGGCGTTCACCCAGCCTTTCTGTAATTGGCTGCGAAGCAGGGGTGCGGGCCGCATCAACATTCACCAGCATGCGACACATCTGCACCAGCAGCAGCAGCCCCAATTTCCCTCGCTAGAATCGCAGCATACCTGATGGGCAGGTAGCGCATTGTTGGCACTCCAGCAAGGCGGAAAAGTTTCTTGCCTGGCTGGCAGTTCTTGGCTTGGCAAAGCAGCAGAAGACTGGATTTGACCTGCACTGTACCTGCTATGAGTGGACCGCAACCAATATTTCAGTACACCTTTTCTAGTACCTTGTTTCATCACATAGAGTAGTACACCTCTCCAATACAAGGGCAATTTGGATTATCATTTTGATCAATTAGGTCATAGTTTAAGACACCAAAACCAATATCAGAAATAAAGCACAACCACTGTTTGACATTAGATTCCTACCTTTTATTTTTCAAAGTGTATGATAAATATGTCTTAAAAGACAAAACCAGCGTCTAAAGTCGATGGAACTCGTAGAAGTATTGAAGTATGCGGGTGTCAAAGTAAGAACTGAATAATAATAGAACTAGAAGTGGAAACCTAGAACAAGTACTAGTTGGTTGTACTCCACTAGAAGCATACCCCAGTCTAGCCTATAACTTGTACGCAGCTAACATGTATAAATTGACACACCCCCTAGGCTAGACAAGAGGTGAAGCTAAGCAAGAAGCAAACAGCTCAGGGGTGGCACTACTAGTCCAACCACTGAGGCAGGGGTCTGGAGACCAGTCAGCAAGGGTACAAATAAGACTAAAGCAAGCCAGAGCGACACTACTAGTCCAGCCACTTGAGGTAAGGCCACAAGGCCAGTCTGACAGGCATATATAATAGAGAGTACACAATCAGGATCCTAACAGGTGTGTAGCTACAGGAACAAGACCAAGCTGTACACAGTGCCGCTGATGATCTTTAGGCGCAAGCGCCTTAGTAAAGATATCAGCAGTGTTGGCACCTGAGGCCAAGTGAACTACACGGGCCCTGCGGCGCTGCTGTAGCTCGCGCAGGAGGAAGTACCGCAGCTGGATATGCTTTGCTCTTGCCCTCAAGCCGAGGCTCCTGACACAGGAGTATCATGGCCCCTGTTGTCAGCGTACAGGGACCGGGGCAGAGCTAGGCCGCTCACCTAAGTCTGTGAGCAAGAAGGTCAGCCAGCGGAGCTCCTGTACCGCCATGGCACCAGCGTAGATCTTAGCCTCACAGCTGGACTGAGCCACAGACGACGAGGGAGTGGATCTCCAAGAGATAGCACCCGAACCAAGGCTAAAGCAGTAGCCCTGCGACGACCTGAGCGTCTCAGAGTCGTCTGTCCAAGAAGCGTTCTGTGTGCCCAGTAAGGACCCACTGGGCCTGCGTCCTCCTAGCACTAACCCCCATGCCCGATGTACTAAGCAAGATAACGCAAAAACCCTCTTAGCGGCAGACCAGTCCTGAGGTCGGTGTCTGCCTGTAGCCACAAAGCGAGCCAGGATGCTGAGAGGGTATGCGAGATATGGGGCGAGTGCAAGTCATCAGGTACATGAGGCAACCCACGAGCTCTGCGTAGGGGCCACTGGGCTCTACTGGCTCCTGAGGAACGGGAGCGGAGAGCCCATGGTGTACAGGTAGAGGTGTGGGCTGTGCGGAGGAGAACTGAAGACCAAACCTCTGAAGGACCTGACGCACCAAGTGTAACTGTGTCAGAGTGATGGTGCGTGCTGCTCCGTCCCTAGAGATCTGCAGGCCAAGATAGCGACGCAAGCTCTCCAAGGTCAGTGCAGGTGGTGTCTTTTCAGCAGCTCAGGCCTTCACAGAGGCCAGTGCGTCCCTGTCAGCAGTAGCAAAGACCAAGTCGTCTACGTAGACAAGGATGTAGAACGGAGTCTGGCCGGAACGCACAAACAGCAAGGGGGTCAGCAGAGGACGGAAAGAACTGCAGGTCTGCTACGTGGCACGCAGCGTGTCGTGCCACTCGCGAGGAGCCTGACGCAGGCCGTAGACCGGGCGCCGGAGAAGCCACTGGGTCCTAGGGGGGAAGGTACCAGTGAAGCCCTGAGGTCGACGCAGGTAGACCTGCTCGTGTAGGCTGCCCTGAAGAGAGGCAGTAGAGAAGTCGAGGGAGTGAAGCTCGTAGTCGCGCTATGCTGCTACGTGTAGCAGCGCCCGAAGAGTGGTCATCTTCGGGGTCGGGGCGAAGGTCTGGAAGAAGTCAACCCCCTCGCGCTGGCTGAAGCCTCTGGCCACGTAGCGCGCCTTGGAAGACAGGCGGCTCTCCAGGGAGGCACTTCACCTTGAAGAGCCACCGACCATCGACTACGTTCACCCCAGGCGGGGGAACTGCGTCGACGTAAGTGCCGGTGGACCTCCAAGATGCCATCTCCTGCTCCATGGCAGCTATCCACTGAGAGGCCCAGGGTCCCGAGGTGGCCTCAGCGTAGGTGCGAGGGGTCAGGATGTCGAAGGCGTCTGGGTCACCCTCAGGGACTAACAGCATGGGAGCAGAGATGGGGAGCAGCCTCCGAAAGGAAAGCAAGCTCGTAGTGCCTGTCCTCTAAGACGTCACTACCAAGGGCAGGAGCACCCCCGACGGACGGAGGATGGGCAGGGTCAGAGACTAGAGCGGTAGTGTAGTCAAGGCGGCAGGTAGAGGCAAATTCAGCGAATGCAGCGACAAGCGCGTCAAGGCGCGAGACAGGAACAGCAGGGTCGGTAACAAGAGAGGCAAGGACCCGAGGGACAAGGGGATAAGCGGGGTGGATTCTAGCGCCTAAAGGGCTTTGCCAAGGTTCCCGCGCTTAGCTAAGCCCGAGGCACGGGGATGAAATCCCAGTCCTGTCAGGCATGTGGCGCTGGGGAGGAGGGAGAGTGATGGCGGCAACAGCTTCAACATAAAGATCTACCCAGGAACCCTGGCGAAATGAGTCCAAACTGCGCTCGACGGAGGGCCAATCAGGCTTGCGGGCTGTGCCAACGCGGAGGGTAAGGCGAGCAAGGAATATCAGAAGTCGCCAAGCTGGCACCGAGTCAGGGTCCTTGGCCAATCGGAGGAGCGGGGTCAGCAGACAGCTGGCGAATTGGTCCCGAATGTGGCGGGGTGGGTGGCGGGCAAGCGGGGGTTGGCGACTGTCGCAAAGGGAAGCGATATTCCAGTTGGCGACTTGGGCGAAAAGGTCATCCCGGACCGCCAGCACCTCGGGCGAGAGGAATTGGGGATTCAGGTTCGGAAAATCCTCGAATTCCGCATTTCTCTGGTTCGGGGCGGCTCGGGCCGCACTCCGCCTCAGGCCCCCTCCTTCCGCAGCACTGTCCTCCCCAGTCACAGACTCGGAGTCCCCCTCGGAAGAAGGGGTATATCTGGAGTCACCCGATCCTTCCTCGCCATTCCCAGCAGCAGCGCCCTCTCCTCCAGCTGCCGACTCCCTTAGTCTAATCTCCGCCCTGCCAGGGCTCTCCGGCCTGGCCTCTGCCCCCGAGATAACAGTCGCGTCAGCCAATCTGCGGCGAACAGCCTGGACGAACGTGCCGCTGCCACCTCCCCGAGCTATACTCCTCCTCGTCCCCGCCGTTCGCTTCCGCGATTCCCCGGCGTCGACGCGGCGCTAGCCATTGGCGCTCGTCGAGAACGCCCTTGTGGGGTCCACCAGCGAACGCCTCCCCGTGATGGCGTAGTCTCGGTCGTATGGGCAGGGGCAATCCCCGGAACGGCTTACGGTCGGCGGGCGGGTGGTCGTTGGCCCGCGCGGTCCCCTGAGCCGCGCTACCGCTCGCGGCGCCCGAGTGGCGGAGCCCACCCCGCCGTCTGCCAGTGCGTGATTTGCGCCGGCGTGGGTCTCGGAGGCCATCGCGTCCCCGCAGCATGGCCCGCAGGTGCAGCGAGGGGGCTCAGCCGCCCGCTCCCCGAGCGTCAACGAAGTTGTCGCTCGGGGTGCTTGCACGCTTGCCTGCGGTAATCTAGGCATTGGCAGCACCGGCTGCCCAGCACCAGTGCCGGCGGCTCCCGCAGCTCCCCCTCCAGCGGCTCCCGTGACTCTCCTGCCAGGAGTAGTGGCGGCGCCGGCGCAGCTTCCCCTGCCTGGCCGCCGCAGGGCCCCCAGTTCCTGGGATCTTGTATCGAGTGGAACCCCCCTGGTTCCAGGGCTGGGGGGGACTCCGCCAGTGATGCAGACTCCGGTCCGCCAGCGGCAATTCCTCCGCCCCCACCGCCGCCGCCTCCTCCCAGCGCTCAGCCGCTTGCGGCGCCAGCACCGTTCCCAGCAGGGCAGGCTCCGCCTCCTCAGGAAGTGGGCCAGGAAGGGCGGGGACCGGCGAGCAGGGGGAGAACGTGGGTGGGAGGACCACTCTGGACTGACGGCAGGAAGTCACGGCGCCACGTCAGCGGACGGGGGAGTTTCCCCCAGGCCACGCGAGGAGCGGGCAACCAGTGCCCGAGGCGGCGATCCGGGCAGCGGCGGAGGACACGCTTCGGCGTCTGGACTCAGCCAGGGACTGCCTCGCGCGCTTGACGACGTGGTGGGGGTGTCGGGGTATGCCCTCGGCTGCGCTGAACAGGAGGGTTGCTGTCGGAGAGGCAGGCGGTTGCGTACGCGACACAGGCAGCACGGCGAGGGCGGCGCTGACCGCCGCGTGGCCCGGGCTCGCTCAGGGAATACCGCTGCCGGTGGGGCCCGCCGTCGTCCTGGCGGATCTGGAGGACAAGCTGGAAGGGCGCAAGCTGTAGAAGTAATCGACGGCGCCGTGTCAGTATTCCGGGAGTTGGAGCGCGCCGTGTATTGTCTGCTGGAGGATCTCCGCGCAGCGAGGTAGCGGGAGATCGCCGACCGGCGTAATGCTGGTCCGCGGGCGTTAGTCGCCCTGCCAGTGCTTCAAGCGTGGTACCTGCATAATTAAGGACGCCAGGGACCCCATGCCTGGAAACCGCCTAGAAGGCCCGCTTGTATGTTGTTGTTGTAGAGATGACAGGTCCGTAGCTTCTTGCCGTCCCCTAACGCGCGGCCGCAGGCTGCGCCGCGAGCGACGGCGGCCTACGGCCGCCGGTGCGAGCCGCTACCAGCAAGTAGATGAGAAATGAACTGAGAACTAACCAAGGAGTCAGGAGACAGGAGGAGCTTATATAGGCTCAGGAGCAAGGCTCAGGGCTCTTTCCTCTCCCCCTCCCTCCCTCCCTTTCTTCGTCCCCCCCATGCACTTCCCCTACCTACCACTCCCCATCTGGCCTTACCCGCCTCTCCCGCCCTGTGCCTTCAACTCACAGCGCCTCCAGGTTGGTGACATTGCCCAGGAGTCCGTATTTGCCCTGTAAACCCATTGTACTGCAGCACGCTGGCACAGGGCCAAGGCAGCATGGGGGAGTGGGGGAAGGAGGGGGGAGGCAGCAAGCAGAGGGGTGGGTGGGGATTTGTGGGAGGAGCCGTGAGATGAGGACGAGAGGGTTGCGTTGGAACAGGGGCAGCAGGGTGGTGATGTGACAGCGAAGCATACATATCAACGGATGCAAGAGCAAAGGGCAAGAGCGGGACACTACAGTGCTTGAGGCCAGGGCTATTGCTGATAAAGGCAGGGATGGAGCCAGACAGCGCATTGGCGTCCAAGTATCTGCGGTCAGGGCAGGTTCGCAAGCAGAGGCGAGTGCAGAGAATAGAATGTGGTGCACGTGACTGCACGGACTGGCTGGAGCAGCCAGGCAGCATTAGGCAGGAGCGCAAAGAATGAGAAGGCAGTGCATGAGCGGGGCAGGAGGGACTGCAGTGCAGCAGTAGCGGCTGGATCGCCATCACACTGGCATGAGACTTCAGTCGCATGTTGTTGGCAAAGCATGCAGCGGCATGCTTTGCTGCGGACTGCAATTGTAACAGGGGCGCTAGTACTGCAGTGACTATGAGTTGATTTTACAGTCATCTGCCGGCCGCAGTGACAGGGTGCCACTCACAGTACTCCAGCGACGTCAGTTTGCTGAGGGAATTCGGAATGGAGCCCGAGAAACCGTTGGTGCTCAGAATGCTGCAAGGAGGGTTGGGGAGACCCGGGAATGATGTTGAGGAAGGCTTATCTTAGCATGTAGCGTCTGCACTGCTCACTAGCTCGCTCCCTCGCTTTCTCCCCTCTCCGGGGTGCACTGCAGCAAGACGAGCATATCATATATACCCGCGTAGGTGGTGCAATGCACGAGAGGGGCTCACAGGTTGACGAGCGCAGAGAGGCTGCCCAGGAGGAGGCAGGGTGCCGCTGAGCTGGTTGGCATCCAGAAGCCTGCAGGGAGCGATGGAGCAGTGGTTTTAGGGCCAGGCAGGCGGATGCCAGGTGAATGGCAGGGATGGAAGGATGGGCGAAAGAGCAGGTTGGGTCGGGAGGGAAGAAGTTGCTGTGGCAAGAAATGCTGGCTAATAAATGATGAGCTCGACTCAAAGCAGGCCGGATGGACGACGGATGTGGTGGTGGAAGAAGGGAGGGTGGCGAGAGGAGGCTTGGAAGAATCTGAGCACGGCGTTCAGACGGATGGGAATGAGGTGGAGCAGGGAAGAAGGGGACTGACAGGATTGAAGCCTGTTGCACTTCCTACTGTATCGGGTATGTTGCCGTGAGCTGATTGCCTGAGAGAACCCTGCACGGGGACCATGCACACCGGCGATACAGCACACAGGCACATGCAGGCGGACACGTCCAAATCCATTATTTCAACCCACGGTCATGGTGCAGGCGCAGAGTTGAGGTGAACGTGTGGGGCCAGAAGCTCCAACGTGCAATGCACATGTCTAGAAGGGCGGGAGGGAGGGAGAAAGGACAAATCCGCATGGGCATGGTGCAGTACATGGAGCAGCACATGGTGCAGTACATGGAGCAGCACATGGTGCAGCACATGGTGCAGTACATGGAGCAGCACATGGTGCAGCACATGGAGCAGCTAGTTCACACCCGTTGTGCTGACTGCAGTGGCAGCAACCAGAAGCAATGCGGGGGCGAGTGAGTCTCACACGTGTACGAGATTGGGCAGAGTGAAGAGAGCAGGGGGGAGGGAGCCAGTGAGCTACTGGACTTGATGTAACTGCGGGAAGGCACAGGTGGATATGAATGGGAGGACGGAGGGGAGGGAGACAGATGGAGTTAAAGGCAGCAGGGGAGGTGACGCAAAGCGAATAAGATAATATCAAGGATTTGGAGTCCACTGCTGTCGGCTCCGTGGAACACGAGCCAGACCACGATGTCATGCATTTGCTACAGCAGAACCCATGTGCCTCCCCACCATATCATGTCAGTCCCACATGCCATGTCAGTTCCCCATATCATCATGTCAGTTCCCTATGTCATGTCACTCCCACCATGTCACTCCCAGCATGTCATGTCACTCACCATGCCTTGCTCTGCTCCCACTCACAGCCATGACAGTTCTTCCAGGGCCGGTGATGCTCTCAGGAATAGACGCTGATATGTTGCCGTTTCTCACTTCGCTGGAATGCAAGGCGAGGGGAGGGGTGGGGGGAGGGAGGGGGGAAGGGGGTGAGTGGGGGGAGAGACAGTTGAATGGGAGCGAGGGAAAAAAACGCACAGTGCAGAGCGGCGGCGTGTATCTAATGTTGACCAACCGGGTTATACGTCCCGTTTCCTCAAGACATGCAGTGACAGCCCCAGCATGCATGTCGGGCCGCGGGCCATCATGACACCTACAGTGCAACGACATGCCCGTCGTCGTCGCAGTACACAGCAGCCATGCTGTCGCAGTCCGTGCCTCTGCTCCATGTGGCCGAGCCGTCCAAGCTGCTCCATGCGGATGCCAGATCCTCCAACGCGTCCACTACCATGCACCACATGCCATGCCACACCGTAGCACATGCACGAAATGGGTTTCTTCATTTAAAGGTCCGCTTTTAGCAGGTCCGCTTCTAGCAGGTCCGCTCCTATCAGGTCCGCTCCTAGCAGCTCCGCTTCTAGAATCTCATGAGTCTGACACCGGCTTACTGTCAGGGTCCAACACGGGTGCGGCCTGTGCGAGAGGCATGCAGCAGCGCGCCACCATCAAGGCTACCACCGCCGCCCTCGCAACCTCTCCACGCGCCATCGTCGGTAACCACCTCATCACTCGTAGCGTGCTGATTCCCGCGGCGCGAGGTCGCTAAAGTAGGCGAATGTGATAGGCTTCGGAAAATGATCGTATATTTCAAATAAATCGCGATGTAATGATCCGGCGCTACTGCGTTCCGCGTTACGTCAAGCACGACAACTCGCAAGTCTGGCAATGCGTATGATATCTCCGGCTATAGCGAATGCAGGAAGACAACGAAACCTCAGGTTTCATGTGTTCTCTCGTTAGTGTACTGGCTCAAGCACTGTCATCTTGGTATTGCTACTCAACTTGTTGAGACTGGCATCACCGCAATGCATCAGTCGGACGTATTGCACGACACAAGGTTCTCAGTGCTTCTTTCATTGTGGGTGGGTTGTGTTACAGATTTTTACGATCCATTACCGCAGTGTACCGCTTTGTCCGCCGTCAAAGCTGTAGGCGGTTTGTGTCAGGGCGGTAGTTGCAGGCAACCAGCTTGGGGCGTTCACCCAGCCTTTCTGTAATTGGCTGCGAAGCAGGGGTGCGGGCCGCATCAACATTCACCAGCATGCGACACATTGCACCAGCAGCAGCACCCAATTTCCCTCGCTAGAACGCAGCATACTGATGGGCAGGTAGCGCATTGTTGGCACTCCAGCAAGGCGGAAAAGTTTCTTGCCTGGCTGGCAGTTCTTGGCTTGGCAAAGCAGCAGAAGACTGGATTTGACCTGCACTGTACCTGCTATGATGGACCGCAACCATATTTCAGTACACCTTTTCTAGTACCTTGTTTCATCACATAGAGTAGTACACCTCTCCAATACAAGGGCAATTTGGATTATCATTTTGATCAATTAGGTCATAGTTTAAGACAACCAAAACCAATATCAGAAATAAAAGCACAACACTGTTTGACATTAGATTCTACCTTTTATTTTTCAAGTGTATGATAAATATGTCTTAAAAGACAAAACCAGCGTCTAAAGTCGATGGAACTCGTAGAAGTATTGAAGTATGCGGTGTCAAAGTAAGAACTGAATAATAATAGAACTAGAAGTGGAAACCTAGAACAAGTACTAGTTGGTTGTACTCACTAGAAGCATACCCAGTCTAGCCTATAACTTGTACGCAGCTAACATGTATAAATTGACACACCCCCTAGGCTAGACAAGAGGTGAAGCTAAGCAAGAAGCAAACAGCTCAGGGTGGCACTACTAGTCCAACCACTGAGGCAGGGGTCTGGAGACCAGTCAGCAAGGGTACAAATAAGACTAAAGCAAGCCAGAGCGACACTACTAGTCAGCCACTTGAGGTAAGGCCACAAGGCCAGTCTGACAGGCATATATAATAGAGAGTACACAATCAGGATCCTAACAGGTGTGTAGCTACAGGAACAAGACCAAGCTGTACACAGTGCCGCTGATGATCTTTAGGCGCAAGCGCCTTAGTAAAGATATCAGCAGTGTTGGCACCTGAGGCCAAGTGAACTACACGGGCCTGGCGGCGCTGCTGTAGCTCGCGCAGAGGAAGTACCGCAGCTGGATATGCTTTGCTCTGCCCTCAAGCCGAGGCTCCTGACACAGGAGTATCATGGCCCTGTTGTCAGCGTACAGGACCGGGGCAGAGCTAGGCCGCTCACCTAAGTCTGTGAGCAAGAAGGTCAGCCAGCGGAGCTCCTGTACCGCCATGGCACCAGCGTAGATCTTAGCCTCACAGCTGGACTGAGCCACAGACGACGAGGGAGTGGATCTCCAAGAGATAGCACCCGAACCAAGGCTAAAGCAGTAGCCCTGCGACGACCTGAGCGTCTCAGAGTCGTCTGTCCAAGAAGCGTCTGTGTGCCCAGTAAGGACCACTGGCCTGCGTCCTCCTAGCACTAACCCCATGCCCGATGTACTAGCAAGATAACGCAAAACCCTCTTAGCGGCAGACCAGTCCTGAGGTCGGTGTCTGCCTGTAGCCACAAAGCGAGCCAGGATGCTGAGAGGGTATGCGAGATATGGCGAGTGCAAGTCATCAGGTACATGAGGCAAACCCACGAGCTCTGCGTAGGGGCCACTGGGCTCTACTGGCTCCTGAGGAACGGGAGCGGAGAGCCCATGGTGTACAGGTAGAGGTGTGGGCTGTGCGGAGGAGAACTGAAGACCAAACCTCTGAAGGACCTGACGCACAAGTGTAACTGTGTCAGAGTGATGGTGCGTGCTGCTCCGTCCCTAGAGATCTGCAGGCCAAGATAGCGACGCAGCTCTCCAAGGTCAGTGCAGGTGTGTCTTTTCAGCAGCTCAGCCTTCACAGAGGCCAGTGCGTCCCTGTCAGCAGTAGCAAAGACCAAGTCGTCTACGTAGACAAGGATGTAGAACGGAGTCTGGCCGGAACGCACAAACAGCAAGGGTCAGCAGAGGACGGAAAGAACTGCAGGTCTGCTAGCGTGGCACGCAGCGTGTCGTGCCACTCGCGAGGAGCCTGACGCAGGCCGTAGACCGGGCGCCGGAGAAGCCACTGGGTCCTAGGGGGGAAGGTACCAGTGAAGCCCTGAGGTCGACGCAGGTAGACCTGCTCGTGTAGGCTGCCCTGAAGAGAGGCAGTAGAGAAGTCGAGGGAGTGAAGCTCGTAGTCGCGCTATGCTGCTACGTGTAGCAGCGCCCGAAGTGTTAGGATTAAGGACGGAGTCTAGGTGAACTTAGGAGCTAGAATTACTCAAAATATAAATCCGAAATTCTGGACAGAAAAGTCGTCTTCACAAGAAACGACGTCGACGAAAAACTAGCCGTTGGAATATCGCGAAACTTGGATATGTTGGAGCTCTTAATCTCAGCTACCGTTCCCAATTTGAATCATGTTAATTGATGAAGTATTCGCGACGCTATGGCTTTCGACGCACTAGGGGGTAAGCTGTAGGAGGAGAACTTAACTCAATCTCAAGAGTTCAATCAAGTTCAAGAATCTCACAAGGAATTAGAGGAGCAAGAGAAAGGTTGGGATAGAAGAGAGGGATGAGAGGGAAGGTCCCAAGAGAGTCCCCAACCAAGGAACCCCATAAGCACAAAGATTCCCTCCCTATAGGAACCTCAACTTTGACCTTTGTCCTTCCCAACCAATCCATCCAAGTTGGCCACCCTTGCCAACCTAGCTTGGTTGTTCCCAACCTATTTGCAGCTGTTACAGTAGAGTGACAAGTTTACCCAACCCCAAAGGTCCCAACTCCATATAAAGTCACCCCACAACTTCACTTTGTAACCGCCGCAATTGTAACGCAAGCTCATGAACTTTGAATCTTCATAGCTTTCGCGTTCTTGCTCCGATTGAAGGGATTCTCGTTGCGTCGGAAAGATCTTCTCAAGATCTATCATCACAAAAACCTGCTCAAACAAAATAACACAAAACACATTCCCAAACTCCAGAACACATCAACACACAAATTCTTGCACACGTTCAAACCACACATGCAAGTTGAAAATATGGGATGGGAGGCAGACAGAATGTGATAGCATATGATGACATCACACAACACGAAGAGTGGTCATCTTCGGGGTCGGGGCGAAGGTCTGGAAGAAGTCAACCCCCTCGCGCTGGCTGAAGCCTCTGGCCACGTAGCGCGCCTTGAAGACAGGCGGCTCTCCAGGGAGGCACTTCACCTTGAAGAGCCACCGACCATCGACTACGTTCACCCCAGGCGGGGGAACTGCGTCGACGTAAGTGCCGGTGGACCTCCAAGATGCCATCTCCTGCTCCATGGCAGCTATCCACTGAGAGGCCCAGGGTCCCGAGGTGGCCTCAGCGTAGGTGCGAGGGGTCAGGATGTCGAAGGCGTCTGGGTCACCCTCAGGGACTAACAGCATGGAGCAGAGATGGGGAGCAGCCTCCGAAAGGAAAGCAAGCTCGTAGTGCCTGTCCTCTAAGACGTCACTACCAAGGGCAGGAGCACCCCCGACGGACGGAGGATGGGCAGGGTCAGAGACTAGAGCGGTAGTGTAGTCAAGGCGGCAGGTAGAGGCAAATTCAGCGAATGCAGCGACAAGCGCGTCAAGGCGCGAGACAGGAACAGCAGGGTCGGTAACAAGAGAGGCAAGGACCCGAGGGACAAGGGATAAGCGGGGTGGATTCTAGCGCCTAAAGGGCTTTGCCAAGGTTCCCGCGCTTAGCTAAGCCCGAGGCACGGGGATGAAATCCCAGTCCTGTCAGGCATGTGGCGCTGGGGAGGAGGGAGAGTGATGGCGGCAACAGCTTCAACATAAAGATCTACCCAGGAACCCTGGCGAAATGAGTCCAAACTGCGCTCGACGGAGGGCCAATCAGGCTTGCGGGCTGTGCCAACGCGGAGGGTAAGGCGAGCAAGGAATATCAGAAGTCGCCAAGCTGGCACCGAGTCAGGGTCCTTGGCCAATCGGAGGAGCGGGGTCAGCAGACAGCTGGCGAATTGGTCCCGAATGTGGCGGGGTGGGTGGCGGGCAAGCGGGGGTTGGCGACTGTCGCAAAGGGAAGCGATATTCCAGTTGGCGACTTGGGCGAAAAGGTCATCCCGGACCGCCAGCACCTCGGGCGAGAGGAATTGGGGATTCAGGTTCGGAAAATCCTCGAATTCCGCATTTCTCTGGTTCGGGGCGGCTCGGGCCGCACTCCGCCTCAGGCCCCCTCCTTCCGCAGCACTGTCCTCCCCAGTCACAGACTCGGAGTCCCCCTCGGAAGAAGGGGTATATCTGGAGTCACCCGATCCTTCCTCGCCATTCCCAGCAGCAGCGCCCTCTCCTCCAGCTGCCGACTCCCTTAGTCTAATCTCCGCCCTGCCAGGGCTCTCCGGCCTGGCCTCTGCCCCCGAGATAACAGTCGCGTCAGCCAATCTGCGGCGAACAGCCTGGACGAACGTGCCGCCTGCACCTCCCCGAGCTATACTCCTCCTCGCTCCCCGCCGTTCGCTTCCGCGATTCCCCGGCGTCGACGCGGCGCTAGCCATTGGCGCTCGTCGAGAACGCCCTTGTGGGGTCCACCAGCGAACGCCTCCCCGTGATGGCGTAGTCTCGGTCGTATGGGCAGGGGCAATCCCCGGAACGGCTGTACGGTCGGCGGGCGGGTGGTCGTTGGCCCGCGCGGTCCCCTGAGCCGCGCTACCGCTCGCGGACGCCCGAGTGGCGGAGCCCACCCCGCCGTCTGCCAGTGCGTGATTTGCGCCGGCGTGGGTCTCGGAGGCCATCGCGTCCCCCGCAGCATGGCCCGCAGGTGCAGCGAGGGGGCTCAGCCGCCCGCTCCCCGAGCGTCAACGAAGTTGTCGCTCGGGTGCTTGCACGCTTGCCTGCGGTAATCTAGGCATTGGCAGCACCGGCTGCCCCAGCACCAGTGCCGGCGGCTCCCGCAGCTCCCCTCCAGCGGCTCCCGTGACTCTCCTGCCAGGAGTAGTGGCGGCGCCGGCGCAGCTTCCCCCTGCCTGGCCGCCGCAGGGGCCCCCAGTTCCTGGGATCTTGTATCGAGTGGAACCCCCCTGGGTTCCAGGGCTGGGGGGGACTCCGCCAGTGATGCAGACTCCGGTTCCGCCAGCGGCAATTCCTCCGCCCCCACCGCCGCCGCCTCCTCCCAGCGCTCAGCCGCTTGCGGCGCCAGCACCGTTCCCAGCAGGGCAGGCTCCGCCTCCTCAGGAAGTGGGCCAGGAAGGGGCGGGGACCGGCGAGCAGGGGGAGAACGGTGGGTGGGAGGACCACTCTGGACTGACGGCAGGAAGTCACGGGCGCACGCGTCAGCGGACGGGGGAGTTTCCCCCAGGCCACGCGAGGAGCGGGCAACCAGTGCCCGAGGCGGCGATCCGGGCAGCGGCGGAGGACACGCTTCGGCGTCTGGACTCAGCCAGGGACTGCCTCGCGCGCTTGACGACGGTGGTGGGGGTGTCGGGGTATGCCCTCGGCTGCGCTGAACAGGAGGGGTTGCTGTCGGAGAGGCAGGCGGTTGCGTACGCGACACAGGCAGCAGCGGCGAGGGCGGCGCTGACCGCCGCGTGGCCCGGGCTCGCTCAGGGAATACCGCTGCCGGTGGGGCCCGCCGTCGTCCTGGCGGATCTGGAGGACAAGCTGGAAGGGGCGCAAGCTGTAGAAGTAATCGACGGCGCCGTGTCAGTATTCCGGGAGTTGGAGCGCGCCGTGTATTGTCTGCTGGAGGATCTCCGCGCAGCGAGGTAGCGGGAGATCGCCGACCGGCGTAATGCTGGTCCGCGGGCGTTAGTCGCCCTGCCAGTGCTTCAAGCGTGGGTACCTGCATAATTAAGGGACGCCAGGGACCCCCATGCCTGGAAACCGCCTAGAAGGCCCGCTTGTATGTTGTTGTTGTAGAGATGACAGGTCCGTAGCTTCTTGCCGTCCCCTAACGCGCGGCCGCAGGCTGCGCCGCGAGCGACGGCGGCCTACGGCCGCCGGTGCGAGCCGCTACCAGCAAGTAGATGAGAAATGAACTGAGAACTAACCAAGGAGTCAGGAGACAGGAGGAGCTTATATAGGCTCAGGAGCAAGGCTCAGGGGCTCTTTCCTCTCCCCCTCCCTCCCTCCCTTTCTTCGTCCCCCCCATGCACTTCCCCTGACCTACCACTCCCCATCTGGCCTTACCCGCCCTCTCCCGCCCTGTGCCTTCAACTCACAGCGCCTCCAGGTTGGTGACATTGCCCAGGGAGTCCGGTATTTGCCCTGTAAACCCATTGTACTGCAGCACGCTGGCACAGGGCCAAGGCAGCATGGGGGGAGTGGGGGGAAGGAGGGGGGGAGGGCAGCAAGCAGAGGGGTGGGTGGGGGATTTGTGGGAGGAGCCGTGAGATGAGGACGAGAGGGTTGCGTTGGGAACAGGGGCAGCAGGGGTGGTGGATGTGACAGCGAAGCATACATATCAACGGATGCAAGAGCAAAGGGCAAGAGCGGGACACGTACAGGTGCTTGAGGCCAGGGCTATTGCTGATAAAGGCAGGGATGGAGCCAGACAGCGCATTGGCGTCCAAGTATCTGCGGTCAGGGCAGGTTCGCAAGCAGAGGCGAGTGCAGAGAATAGAATGTGGTGCACGTGACTGCACGGACTGGCTGGAGCAGCCAGGCAGCATTAGGCAGGAGCGCAAAGGAATGAGAAGGGCAGTGCATGAGCGGGGCAGGAGGGACTGCAGTGCAGCAGTAGCGGCTGGGATCGCCATCACACTGGCATGAGACTTCAGTCGCATGTTGTTGGCAAAGCATGCAGCGGCATGCTTTGCTGCGGACTGCAATTGTAACAGGGGCGCTAGTACTGCAGTGACTATTGAGTTGATTTTACAGTCATCTGCCGGCCGCAGTGACAGGGTGCCACTCACAGGTACTCCAGCGACGTCAGTTTGCTGAGGGAATTCGGAATGGAGCCCGAGAAACCGTTGGTGCTCAGAATGCTGCAAGGAGGGTTGGGGAGACCCGGGAATGATGTTGAGGAAGGCTTATCTTAGCATGTAGCGTCTGCACTGCTCACTAGCCTCGCTCCCTCGCTTTCTCCCCTCTCCGGGGTGCACTGCAGCAAGACGAGGCATATCATATATACCCGCGTAGGGTGGTGCAATGCACGAGAGGGGGCTCACAGGTTGACGAGCGCAGAGAGGCTGCCCAGGGAGGAGGGCAGGGTGCCGCTGAGCTGGTTGGCATCCAGAAGCCTGCAGGGAGCGATGGAGCAGTGGTTTTAGGGCCAGGCAGGCGGATGCCAGGTGAATGGCAGGGATGGAAGGGATGGGCGAAAGAGCAGGTTGGGTCGGGAGGGAAGGAAGTTGCTGTGGCAAGAAATGCTGGCTAATAAATGATGAGCTCGACTCAAAGGCAGGCCGGATGGACGACGGATGGTGGTGGTGGAAGAAGGGAGGGTGGCGAGAGGAGGCTTGGAAGAATCTGAGCACGGCGTTCAGACGGATGGGAATGAGGTGGAGCAGGGAAGAAGGGGGACTGACAGGGATTGAAGGCCTGTTGCACTTCCTACTGTATCGGGTATGTTGCCCGTGAGCTGATTGCCTGAGAGAACCCTGCACGGGGACCATGCACACACGGCGATACAGCACACAGGCACATGCAGGCGGACACGTCCAAATCCATTATTTCAACCCACGGTCATGGTGCAGGCGCAGAGTTGAGGTGAACGTGTGGGGCCAGAAGCTCCAACGTGCAATGCACATGTCTAGAAGGGCGGGAGGGAGGGAGAAAGGACAAATCCGCATGGGCATGGTGCAGTACATGGAGCAGCACATGGTGCAGTACATGGAGCAGCACATGGTGCAGCACATGGTGCAGTACATGGAGCAGCACATGGTGCAGCACATGGAGCAGCTAGTTCACACCCGTTGTGCTGACTGCAGTGGCAGCAACCAGAAGCAATGCGGGGGCGAGTGAGTCTCACACGTGTACGAGATTGGGCAGAGTGAAGAGAGCAGGGGGGAGGGAGCCAGTGAGCTCACTGGACTTGATGTAACTGCGGGAAGGCACAGGTGGATATGAATGGGGAGGACGGAGGGGAGGGAGACAGATGGAGTTAAAGGCAGCAGGGGGAGGTGACGCAAAGCGAATAAGATAATATCAAGGATTTGGAGTCCACTGCTGTCGGCTCCGTGGAACACGAGCCAGACCACGATGTCATGCCATTTGCTACAGCAGAACCCATGTGCCTCCCCACCCATATCATGTCAGTCCCACATGCCATGTCAGTTCCCCATATCATCATGTCAGTTCCCTATGTCATGTCACTCCCACCCATGTCACTCCCACGCATGTCATGTCACTCACCATGCCTTGCTCTGCTCCCACTCACAGCCATGACAGTTCTTCCAGGGCGGTGATGCTCTCAGGAATAGACGCTGATATGTTGCCGTTTCTCACTTCGCTGGAATGCAAGGCGAGGGGAGGGGTGGGGGGAGGAGGGAGGGGGGAAGGGGGTGAGTGGGGGGAAGAGACAGTTGAATGGGAGCGAGGGAAAAAAACGCACAGTGCAGAGCGGCGGCGTGTATCTAATGTTGACCAACCGGGTTATACGTCCCGTTTCCTCAAGACATGCAGTGACAGCCCCAGCATGCATGTCGGGCCGCGGGCCATCATGACACCTACAGTGCAACGACATGCCCGTCGTCGTCGCAGTACACAGCAGCCATGCTGTCGCAGTCCGTGCCTCTGCTCCATGTGGCCGAGCCGTCCAAGCTGCTCCATGCGGATGCCAGATCCTCCAACGCGTCCACTACCATGCACCACATGCCATGCCACACCGTAGCACATGCACGAAATGGGTTTCTTCATTTAAAGGTCCGCTTTTAGCAGGTCCGCTTCTAGCAGGTCCGCTCCTATCAGGTCCGCTCCTAGCAGCTCCGCTTCTAGAATCTCATGAGTCTGACACCGGCTTACTGTCAGGGTCCAACACGGGTGCGGCCTGTGCGAGAGGCATGCAGCAGCGCGCCACCATCAAGGCTACCACCGCCGCCCTCGCAACCTCTCCACGCGCCATCGTCGGTAACCACCTCATCACTCGTAGCGTGCTGATTCCCGCGGCGCGAGGTCGCTAAAGTAGGCGAATGTGATAGGCTTCGGAAAATGATCGTATATTTCAAATAAATCGCGATGTAATGATCCGGCGCTACTGCGTTCCGCGTTACGTCAAGCACGACAACTCGCAAGTCTGGCAATGCGTATGATATCTCCGGCTATAGCGAATGCAGGAAGACAACGAAACCTCAGGTTTCATGTGTTCTCTCGTAGTGTACTGGCTCAAGCACTGTCATCTTGGTATTGCTACTCAACTTGTTGAGACTGGCATCACCGCAATGCATCAGTCGGACGTATTGCACGACACAAGGTTCTCAGTGCTTCTTTCATTTGTGGGTGGGTTGTGTTACAGATTTTTACGATCCATTACCGCAGTGTACCGCTTTGTCCGCCGTCAAAGCTGTAGGCGGTTTGTGTCAGGGCGGTAGTTGCAGCAACCAGCTTGGGGCGTTCACCCAGCCTTTCTGTAATTGGCTGCGAAGCAGGGGTGCGGGCCGCATCAACATTCACCAGCATGCGACACATCTGCACCAGCAGCAGCAGCCCAATTTCCCTCGCTAGAATCGCAGCATACCTGATGGGCAGGTAGCGCATTGTTGGCACTCCAGCAAGGCGGAAAAGTTTCTTGCCTGGCTGGCAGTTCTTGGCTTGGCAAAGCAGCAGAAGACTGGATTTGACCTGCACTGTACCTGCTATGAGTGGACCGCAACCAATATTTCAGTACACCTTTTCTAGTACCTTGTTTCATCACATAGAGTAGTACACCTCTCCAATACAAGGGCAATTTGGATTATCATTTTGATCAATTAGGTCATAGTTTAAGACACCAAAACCAATATCAGAAATAAAAGCACAACACTGTTTGACATTAGATTCTACCTTTTATTTTTCAAGTGTATGATAAATATGTCTTAAAAGACAAAACCAGCGTCTAAAGTCGATGGAACTCGTAGAAGTATTGAAGTATGCGGTGTCAAAGTAAGAACTGAATAATAATAGAACTAGAAGTGGAAACCTAGAACAAGTACTAGTTGGTTGTACTCACTAGAAGCATACCCCAGTCTAGCCTATAACTTGTACGCAGCTAACATGTATAAATTGACACACCCCCTAGGCTAGACAAGAGGTGAAGCTAAGCAAGAAGCAAACAGCTCAGGGTGGCACTACTAGTCCAACCACTGAGGCAGGGGTCTGGAGACCAGTCAGCAAGGGTACAAATAAGACTAAAGCAAGCCAGAGCGACACTACTAGTCCAGCCACTTGAGGTAAGGCCACAAGGCCAGTCTGACAGGCATATATAATAGAGAGTACACAATCAGGATCCTAACAGGTGTGTAGCTACAGGAACAAGACCAAGCTGTACACAGTGCCGCTGATGATCTTTAGGCGCAAGCGCCTTAGTAAAGATATCAGCAGTGTTGGCACCTGAGGCCAAGTGAACTACACGGGCCTGGCGGCGCTGCTGTAGCTCGCGCAGGAGGAAGTACCGCAGCTGGATATGCTTTGCTCTGCCCTCAAGCCGAGGCTCCTGACACAGGAGTATCATGGCCCTGTTGTCAGCGTACAGGACCGGGGCAGAGCTAGGCCGCTCACCTAAGTCTGTGAGCAAGAAGGTCAGCCAGCGGAGCTCCTGTACCGCCATGGCACCAGCGTAGATCTTAGCCTCACAGCTGGACTGAGCCACAGACGACGAGGGAGTGGATCTCCAAGAGATAGCACCCGAACCAAGGCTAAAGCAGTAGCCCTGCGACGACCTGAGCGTCTCAGAGTCGTCTGTCCAAGAAGCGTCTGTGTGCCCAGTAAGGACCACTGGCCTGCGTCCTCCTAGCACTAACCCCATGCCCGATGTACTAGCAAGATAACGCAAAACCCTCTTAGCGGCAGACCAGTCCTGAGGTCGGTGTCTGCCTGTAGCCACAAAGCGAGCCAGGATGCTGAGAGGGTATGCGAGATATGGGCGAGTGCAAGTCATCAGGTACATGAGGCAACCCACGAGCTCTGCGTAGGGGCCACTGGGCTCTACTGGCTCCTGAGGAACGGGAGCGGAGAGCCCATGGTGTACAGGTAGAGGTGTGGGCTGTGCGGAGGAGAACTGAAGACCAAACCTCTGAAGGACCTGACGCACCAAGTGTAACTGTGTCAGAGTGATGGTGCGTGCTGCTCCGTCCCTAGAGATCTGCAGGCCAAGATAGCGACGCAGCTCTCCAAGGTCAGTGCAGGTGTGTCTTTTCAGCAGCTCAGCCTTCACAGAGGCCAGTGCGTCCCTGTCAGCAGTAGCAAAGACCAAGTCGTCTACGTAGACAAGGATGTAGAACGGAGTCTGGCCGGAACGCACAAACAGCAAGGGGTCAGCAGAGGACGGAAAGAACTGCAGGTCTGCTAGCGTGGCACGCAGCGTGTCGTGCCACTCGCGAGGAGCCTGACGCAGGCCGTAGACCGGGCGCCGGAGAAGCCACTGGGTCCTAGGGGGGAAGGTACCAGTGAAGCCCTGAGGTCGACGCAGGTAGACCTGCTCGTGTAGGCTGCCCTGAAGAGAGGCAGTAGAGAAGTCGAGGGAGTGAAGCTCGTAGTCGCGCTATGCTGCTACGTGTAGCAGCGCCCGAAGAGTGGTCATCTTCGGGGTCGGGGCGAAGGTCTGGAAGAAGTCAACCCCCTCGCGCTGGCTGAAGCCTCTGGCCACGTAGCGCGCCTTGAAGACAGGCGGCTCTCCAGGGAGGCACTTCACCTTGAAGAGCCACCGACCATCGACTACGTTCACCCCAGGCGGGGGAACTGCGTCGACGTAAGTGCCGGTGGACCTCCAAGATGCCATCTCCTGCTCCATGGCAGCTATCCACTGAGAGGCCCAGGGTCCCGAGGTGGCCTCAGCGTAGGTGCGAGGGGTCAGGATGTCGAAGGCGTCTGGGTCACCCTCAGGGACTAACAGCATGGAGCAGAGATGGGGAGCAGCCTCCGAAAGGAAAGCAAGCTCGTAGTGCCTGTCCTCTAAGACGTCACTACCAAGGGCAGGAGCACCCCCGACGGACGGAGGATGGGCAGGGTCAGAGACTAGAGCGGTAGTGTAGTCAAGGCGGCAGGTAGAGGCAAATTCAGCGAATGCAGCGACAAGCGCGTCAAGGCGCGAGACAGGAACAGCAGGGTCGGTAACAAGAGAGGCAAGGACCCGAGGGACAAGGGGATAAGCGGCACGGAGGTAGTCGGAGAACGGAGAAGGGGCAACAGCAAGGGACGAGGGAGGAGGGGACGGGAGGAGGGGAGGACGAGACGAGCGGGAACGGAGCAACATAGGGTGGGTGGGCAGGACAGGAGAGACGGGACGAGCACGGGAGGGACGGCGAGACCAAACGTAAGACGGAGGTGTAGTGTGAGAGTACGACCCCGTTAGACCACTTGGCCTTTTCTTATTTCCTTCCCTTTTCATTTCTCGTTTTACCGCATCTCATTTGGTTTCCTATTTTCCATTTTCCATTATCCTTTGGTCTCTTCCTTTATTATAATTATATCACCGACCAGGCATGGAATGTACTAGAGACGTTATCCAGCGTAATCCTGCCGTAATCCCTTAAAGCCAATAGCCTCACGTGGCTATACGCAGGGTGATTCTATCTTCTAGAAGGGTCTATTCCCTTAGGATAAGATAAACCTGGTTACCTGATGTACTCTGGAAGTATAAAAGCGCCTTGTACCGATCGATAGTGCAACCTTTTCTCGACACATTCGATCCTGTGACACTTGGTAATCAGAGCTTTTCTCACTCGGCCGCGCTCAGCTAAGCAGCAGCAGCGGGGATCCTGCCTCGAAAAACCGCCGGGGGCGACCAATTCGACGCCGATTCTGGTAAGCACCAGCTCCGCGATTTTCGAATTACCCCCTCCGTGCGTGTTTTGAACAGGATGGCAACCTTCGACAACGCCGAGGTTACCCAGCAGCTCTTCGCGCGCATCGCAGCCCTTCAGGAGGAAATGCGAGCGGATCGCGAAGCGTGGCGAAACCAGTTCGAGCGAGTAACTCGACTCGCCGGAGCGCAGCACGAGACGACAACGGCGACGACGCAGCAGTCGCAGCAGTTTCTCGAGGCTTCGAAACCGCGCCCACCTGAGCCGTTCGATCCGAGCGATCGAAACTCCGACGCCCGCAGATGGATCGCCGGGATGGAGATCTACTTCGCAGCCGTCGGATGGAGCTCGCCAGTCTGGGACGGTCAACGTGTACGACTCGCAGCGACACTGATGCGAGGGCCGGCACTCGAGTGGATTGGCGGCAACAGTACTTTCATCCACGGTGAAGCCACGTGGCAGCAGTTCCGCGCCGACCTGCTGAAACGCTTCGAACCGATAAATTCGAGTTTCCTTGCCCGGGAAAAAATTCATCGACACCGACAGTTCGGGAGTGTAGCACAGTACACGCAGCAGATGGAGGAATTTTATAACCGCATTCCCGACCTGACCGAAGGGGAAAAAGTACAATCGTACCTTGCCGGGCTGAAGACCGAAGTCAAACGACAAGTCGCAGCGTCAAACTACGCGAGCTACAGTGACGTCGTTTCGGCAGCGGAGCGCTTCGACATGGTCAACGCCGGAACACGACGGACGCACGTCGGCAGTACGCGATAGGGCGACCGCTCGGCTCACCCCACGTTCGCCGACCCGATGGAAGTCGACAGATTCGAGGGGCGGCCACGTCCGAAAAACACCAACTACACGTGTGATTTTTGCGGGGTGCCGGGCCACCGAATCTTCGACTGCAACAAAATGAAGGCCGCACGCGCAGAGTATCGGGCACGCAACAGTGGCGGAAATCTTTCGGCCAATCAGAAGACAAAAAACGGGAGTCGCCAGTGATTGCGGATCTAGCTGGCGAAAATAAAAAGATCCGAAAGCGGCCGCGGGATTCCGGAAAAATCAACTTCGATGAAGCTGATTCGACGCGAGAAGGAGGAAATGATGGGGGAAAATCTCCACCCCACGACCAGTCTTCGCCAGGGAAAATCGCCGAGGAAAAATACGACTCCGCGAAAAAAGACTCTGCCGAGACAGGGAAACTCCTTGAAGACCCAAGAAATTATAAGAATTCGTTAAAGTTATCTTATAAAGATGCTTTAATGAAAACTTATGATGTTCGAGGGGCTAGAGCCTTGGAGAAAAATCGGGAGGGACTCCAAAAGAAGCAGACAGCTGTGGAGATTATACCGGTACCGGACAACTTGGGGACCAAATTAAGGAGTGTGGAAAGAAGCCGACCTTTCCACGGAGTCAACGTCCTCTCCCGACACCAGCCCACAACGACTACCCGCTCCCCAGGGAAGACGTCGGTGGAGCTGAAGCAGCTCAAGAGGAAGCTGGGGGTCTACAAGAAGCTGCACAAACCCCGAACTCCTTCTACGGATGCATCCAGTTCTTCGGCATCAGTGACGCGCACAGTCGTCAAAGAAACTCCGGCCCCTGGAGAAGAGCCGTTCTCCAAGCAGCCTTGGCCAGCTGCCAGCTCAGGAGTAGACAACAACACAAAGGTGTGTACGGAATATTGGGATGTACCCTATGACCCAATCAATGAAACTATCTTTGGGTACTCCGAGCAACGACTGCCCCTCGTGCTCGAGGTCATCTGCAAAGGACGACGCCTCCAAGCACTCGTGGACAGCGGAGCGTCACACACCGTCTGCGACAAGGCAATGATCGACCGACTCCGGGAAGAGTACAAGCCTTCAGGATTCTCTGCAACGATGGTGGACGGCAGCAAGTTACCAGTACACGGCGAAGCAGTGCTACATCTACAAATCGGACCACTGCGCTGGAGACCTGCACTCCCCATCACCAACATCAAAGGGCTTGACTTGATCTTCGGGCGAGACTTCCTGAAAAGATTCAACCCCGAGATCAACTGGGTGAACCGCACCGCAAGCATCTACAACAATGGACGGAGAGTACAGCTACCCAACTGGGACGATACAGGAGATATCCCAGTGGAGACACTCGCACGATTCGAGAAGGATGTGAAGCGGACCAACACCGGGTTCCTGGCGATAGCAACAGAGGTGGAGAATGACGGAGAGAAAGCCTCGGAAACTTCAGAAAAAATCAAGGAATTACTGAAGGAGTTCCAAGACATTCTTCCTGACGATCTTCCGAACGAGCTACCGCCATACCGAACGCATCAACACGAGATCGTGGAGGAACCGGGTTCGAAGCCGACCTTCCGAGCACCATACCGGCTCAGCCCTACGGAGCTGACCGACATGAAGAAGCAGATCGAATATCTCCTAGCCAAATGACTCATCCGACCATCTACTTCGCCATACCGTGCCCCAGTACTCTTCACACCGAAACCGGACGGAAGCCTGCGCATGTGCATCGACTACCGAGCTCTTAACAAGCAGACCATCAAGAATAAATATCCGATACCGCGAATCGATGACCTGCTTGACCAGCTTCGGGGAGCTACGGTATTTTCCAAACTGGATCTGCGGTCCGGATACTGGCAGATACGGATGGCGGACAACTCTATCCACAAAACTGCTTTTCGAACTCGGTACGGATCGTACGAGTATTTGGTCATGCCGTTCGGACTCACCAACGCGCCGGCAACGTTCCAAGCCGAAATGAACCACATTCTACGACCACTTCTGGACGAATGCGTGGTGGTGTACCTGGACGACATACTCATCTACTCGCGCGACATGAAGCAGCACGTCGAACACCTGCGACGCGTCTTCGAAATTCTTCGACGAGAACGATTCTACGTCAAACTGTCCAAGAGCGAATTCGCCCTGGAGAAAGTCCAATTTCTAGGACACTTGGTGAGCGCTCAAGGAGTTCACGTCGACCCCAAGAAAGTCGAAGCCGTACGTACGTGGAAGACACCCGAGAACGTGAAGGAGTTGCAGCAGTTCCTAGGCTTCGCTAATTACTACAACAGGTTCGTGCCACAGTATGCGAAATTCACGACACCACTCACGAATCTGCTGAAGAAGAACACGCCCTACAAATGGGAGACGAAGCACCAGGAAGCCGTGGAGCAGCTGAAACAAGCACTAACGTCCGCACCGGTGCTCATCTTGCCAGATCCCGAACGTGACTACGTCATTGAAGCAGACGCCAGTGATCAGGCCGTGGGTGCAGTCTTGATGCAAGACCAGGGGAATGGACTGCAACCAATTGCCTACCTCAGCAAGAAACTGCACGGGGCAGAACTCAACTACCCGATACACGACAAAGAGGCTCTTGCTATCATCATCGCCTTCAAAGCGTGGAGATGCTATCTCGAAGGACGAAGAACGACCGTCTACACCGACCACTGCAGCCTGAAATATTTGAAGACACAACCCAACCTCTCCAGGCGGCAAGTCCGGTGGATCGACTTCCTTGGGACACACTTCCACTACGACATCGTGTACAAGCCCGGCCACAAGAACAAAGCAGACGCTCTCAGCCGGCCTGCACACGTTGCCGCGATTCAGGTCGAAGGGATGAATCCACTACTCAAGGGACTCTTCACCCACGGGTACGCCATCGATCCCGAAATTTCCTTGGCAGAAAAGCGGCATCTGCTACAGTGGGACAGTGACATCGCGTACCGGAAAGGATCAACAAAAATCTGGGTACCCAATTACCCTCCTTTGCGCCAGTTACTACTCGAAGAATACCACGACGTCCTGTACGCCGGACACTTCGGTAGCAACAAGACGCTCACCGGTATCGCCAAACACTACTACTGGCCCCATATGGCAGACGACGTCCAGAAATTCGTCACCTCGTGTGATACATGTCAGCGGATGAAGAGCAGCAAGCAGAAAAAGGCGGGACTACTGCAGCCTTTTCCTGTCCCAGAACAACCATGGCAAGTGGTTAGCCTGGACTTCATTACCGGGTTACCACCTACCTCCAGCGGTCATGACGCCATCCTTGTCGTCATTGACAAGTTCTCCAAAATGGGACACTTCATCCCGACACACACGACGGCACGCACCGAGGAGACAGCACAGCTCTTCGTTCGTCACATCATCTCACAGCATGGCATCCCAACTACACTCATCTCCGACCGAGACCCCAAGTTCACTAGCAAGTTCTGGAAGGAACTTATGTCTCTGCTCGGCACCAAACTCGCCATGTCATCCGCATACCATCCGCAGACAGACGGACAGACCGAGCGCCTCAACCAAATTGTTGAGCAACTCCTCCGAGCAGCCTGCAAGGACGACATCTCCAAATGGGACTTGCACCTGCCCGTACTCGAGTTTGCTTACAACAATGCCACACATGCCGCTACTGGACAGACGCCGTTCTTCCTCTGCTACGGACGCCACCCACTCACACCACAAAAACCGACAGCATCACCTACAGTCCAACCCGCACATGATTTCATTACAACCATGCATCAACTTTAGGATCGGACCCATAAGCGCCTCCTTGACATTCAACAGCAACAGAAGCGCCAGGCCGATCGCCATCGCAACGACCACACCATTTCCGTGGGAGACCAGGTGCTCCTCGACACCCGCAACCTGGACATCAGCCATCTCCCATCTAAACTTCGACCTCGCTTCTGCGGGCCTTTCCTCGTTGAAGCACAGGTCACTCCTGTTACCTTCCGCTTACGCCTGCCAGCTACCTGGAAGATTCACAACGCCTTCCACGTCCAACTTCTGAAGCCCTATCGGGACCCGAACACAATTTTCGTCGGACGCCAACCGCCGCCGCCACCGCCCGTCCTCAATGAACCCGAGTACGAGGTCGAGTCCGTGCTCGCACACCGCCGTCGTCGGAATGGCACCATGGAGCTTCTTATCCGTTGGAAGGGTTATGATCCTTCTGAGGACAGCTGGGTACCTGAGTCCAACATGGGTAACGCCCGTCGTCCTCTGCATGACTACCTTGTCAAGCAGGGTGTTACTTCTACCGCCCCAGCTTTGAGGGGGGGAAGTGTGAGAGTACGACCCCGTTACACCACTTGGCCTTTTCTTATTTCCTTCCCTTTTCATTTCTCGTTTTACCGCATCTCATTTGGTTTCCTATTTTCCATTTTCCATTATCCTTTGGTCTCTTCCTTTATTATAATTATATCACCGACCGGGCATGGAATGTACTAGAGACGTTATCCAGCGTAATCCTGCCGTAATCCCTTAAAGCCAATAGCCTCACGTGGCTATACGCAGGGTGATTCTATCTTCTAGAAGGGTCTATTCCCTTAGGATAAGATAAACCTGGTTACCTGATGTACTCTGGAAGTATAAAAGCGCCTTGTACCGATCGATAGTGCAACCTTTTCTCGACACATTCGATCCTGTGACATGTAGGGTCAGGGGACAGCGGAGGGGACACAGGAGGAGAACGAGGAGGAAGACGGGCCGGAGACTAGTCCGGCGGCGAGAACACAGGACCGTAGACAGGAAGGTCAGCAGGCAGTGGGGGAGACACCGGCGCGCGGTCCGGGGAGGGAAGGCCGAGCAGGCGGAGAGCGGAGACCGGCGGCGACGGCTGCTGCAGCGGTTGCGACGGCTGGGCCGGAACCCTCAGAGCGGCAGAGGCAGGACGACGGTCGGCAGAACACTCAACAGAAGCACCCCCCGAACCAACACCCCCAGAGCGAGAACCCCCTCCAACACCAGCGGCACCCCCAGGAGCCGCCAGACGAACACCCTCCTCAACACCAGCACCCCCAGAGGCCAAGTGCGGCGGCGGCAGTAGCGGCGACGGCGGCGGCGGCGACGGCAGTGGCAACGGCGGCGGCGGCGACGGCGGCAGCGGCTGTAGCGGGGACGACGACTGCGACAGTGGAGGCGGGTACACCGGGGAAGAGGGATGCGGCAAGGATGGGCCGGGGGTACCACCAGAGTCAGCAGACTCCTCAACGGGGACAACCGGCAGGAGGGGAGTGACGTGAGAGACACCCGACGGGGCAGGACGAGGCGAGAGAGAGGCAGGAGCTACTGGGGGAGAGGGAGCAAGGAACAGGGGGGGGGCAACCGGGAGACCTCGGTGAGGGAAGCGGCGGTAGAAGGAGACAGACTCGTCAAAGGTGACGTCACGAGAGTGGAGGAAGCGGTGAGACGGCGGGTGGTAGAAAAGCCAGTCAGACGAGTCCAGGGGGAAACCGAGGAAGACACAGGGGACTGTGCGGGCAGTGAGCTTGTCCGTGCCAGAGGCACGAACGTGAGCAAGGCAGCCCCAGATGTGGAACGCAGACGCGTCACCGGGAGACCCGGTCCAAAGCAAGGTCGGCGAAACCTGCGGCCGCTGGGAGCGGGGCCACAGGTTTAGCTGGTGAGCAGTGTAGCGAACAGCAAACGACCACAGAAAATGGGGGGCATCGGCATGAATCATGGAGGTACGGGCGACCTCCATGACCAAGCCGATGCGGCGCACAGCAACCCCATTCTGCAGTGGCGAGTCCGGCACGGTGTACAACGACTGGGTGATGCCCTCCGCACAACAAAACTGTCCAAGCCGACGCGAGGCGAACTTGCCGCCACGGTCAGAGTGGAGACACAACACGGGGAGTCCGCGGTGAAGACGCGCAGCTACGACCCACGGGAGAAGAACGTCGGGCACGTCGGCTTTCGGCTCCAGGGGAAACACCGTGGTGTAGCGCGTGTAGTCGTCGACGAGCACAAGGAAGTAGCGCTCACCTCGCGGTCCGGGGACGGGGGCTGGGCCCCAAATGTCCAGGTGCAGGGTCTGAAGGGGAGCAGTAGCAGGGCGCAGCAAGAAGGAGTGAGGGGAGCGGCGGAGCCGGCCCTCGACGCAAGGCGTGCACAGTGGCGCAGTCGAGGGAGGAAGGGCAGGGAGCGACGCAGGGAGACCTAAGACAAGACAGTGCTGGGACATGTGACGCAGACGTGGGAGTGCAGGGTGACCTAGGCGGTGGTGCCAGAGAAGGGACGGGTGAGTGAGGGACCAGCACGAGCAAGCTGCAGCGACCTGGGAGGACGCACCAACCGGGGGGACGCGGTGTCTAGGGTGAACAGATCGGACACCGGGTCCTGGGGGAACGTCGCAATAAGGGAACCCGAGACAGACTCAGAACAGACAGCGAACCGCTCGTGCCCGGGGAACGTGGTGGTGACGCCGAGGTCCTGGAGACAGCCGACACCAATTAGGTTCTTCGAGAACGAGGGAACGTGGAGACCTGTAAGGGAGCCCGAGGGAACTGCTGGACAGGGAAGGGACGTAGAACTGCGCGAGACGACAGGACCCGCAGAGGGGTGAGCAAGAGAAACAACAGCAAGCGTAGCAAGTGGCGTGAGCGCGGAGCGGTCGCGGAAGAAGCAGGCGGAGGCATCGGAGTCGAGAGTGAAGGACAGCGAAGCAGCGGCGGAGGCCGGGAACGGAGCCGGTGCAGAGACTAGGCTAGGCAAACTAGGCAGTCCTACGCCTGACGCAGCAGGGGAGGCTAAGCTACACAATGGTGCAATACCTAAGCTAGAGTACTCAGGGTAATAAGATCCAGCAACACTAGAAGCGTCAGAATACAAGGCATGCAAAGCAGCACCTATCTGATCCATGTTTAACTCAAAGATCGGCATGCCCTGGCGGAGCAGGCTGTGCTAGTCGGGGAGGTCCGGGGCCGGGCCAAAGCGACGACGAAAGAGATCGTCGAGACGGCGGAAACAGTGGGCGGTCGGGTGCGGGCGGCGGCACAGAGTGCCGCGGAGAGACCCGGTCTGAAGCTGGTACTGGCAGGTCACAGCACCGGAGCCGCTGGTAGACGCCGAGCTGCGCGGGTCGCCACCTCCGGAGGTGCTGGGCCAACCAGGCGGGAGACGGGCCCACGGCTGCGGCGGCTGCTGCTGGGGCTGCTCCTGCTGCGGCTGGGGCTGCTGCTCCTGCCCACCGGTGGTAGTCCCCTCAGGCGGACTACCCTCACGACGACCACCACCACCACCATATGCACCACCATTCCTACCTCCCTGACGACCACGGCCACCGCGGCGCGCGCGCTGCTGCGGGTGGACCGCAGCAGCCGTCTCGGTGAGAGGGGTCGTTGTGGCGACCGCAGCCGGAACGTCAGTGAACGTGCACTGGGAGGGGGCACAGCCGTGAAAGATAGAGACTGCCGGCGCACCGCTTGACTGAGCAATAGTGCGCTGGCGAGTCTCGATCTCGGTGAGGGTATCGACAAAGGCGGGGAGGGTGAGGTCACCCGGATGCTCGCTAAGGAAGTGATCGCGGGCACTAGCGAGGCGGTCCGGCAGGCGCATGGCGATAAAATAGAGCGTCATGCGGAAAGGGGGGGGGAGCGCAGTGAGCTTGGCAGCAGTGCTGGCAGTGCATAGCGGGTTTTTAGGGCACGCAGGTGAGTGGCAAAGTCTGCGACGGTAGGAAAGGCGGCAAGGTCTGGGAACAGCATCGGGAAGAGCAGGCGGCCAGCAGAAGCAGACGCGGGTGTGGAATAGCGAGCAATAACGGCGTCTAAGTAAGCTTTGGTCGTTTCAACAGTAGCAAAATGCTCGCGCTCAGACACAGGGAGGGCGTGGCTAATAGCAACCTGAGCGACTGCATCGCAGGAGTCCCAGACCACACAGGCAAGCGCAGCAGTAGAGAAGGTCTCGCGGTCATCAGAGGAGGGATCAGAAGGGAGGGGAGCAGGTGCGGGGGGGCGGGGGAGCAAGCCATCGACATGGACAACCAAAGAGTGGCCATCCTGGCGCTGACCTGTAAGGTGGCGGCGGAGATCGGAGAGCCAGGCGGCGAAGTCAACCGCATGGCCCTCGGCGTCCAGTCGGAGCACGAAGTCAGCCATCGTGCAGGGTCAGCGGCACAGCTCCACAGCTCCGCAAGAACACAGCGACACAGGGACACGGCGGCGGCACTCTCCAGAGACATTGGAAAAGCCCTTGGGATCTTTCCAGAGACTAAGTCCCAGTTGTAAAAGGAGACTTGAGTAGTGCAGCGGAAGTTGAGTAGTTGAACCCTTGTACTGGTATATGAGAACAAGTGATTGATTAAAAGAAACAATCATACAGCGATATATAGAAAGTAGGAAAGTAAAGCAGTTGTAGAATACAGTTAAAGGAGCGGTTTATCGAGTCGCACAGCGACTCGATTGACGGTTCTGTTACCATTCTTGCAGTTGTAATGGTCAGTCGCAACCTCCGGTTGCGACCCTTCGTGTCCTTTCGTGTTCTTCGTCTGCCCCCTCGTGCAACCTCCGTTGACTCGCGTACCCGTTATGACTTTCCTCGAGTGTAGTATTACACTCCAGAAACGCTCAAGTCCTTGAGATATTTCCAACAAATGCTACGTTGAATAGTACAGTATCCTTCAACGCATTTGTAACTCTAGACTCTGTTATGCACAAACTACCATAGTAAAAAAAAAACCTTTCATAAGCCCTGGGGCTAAACTATTGATGGAAAGCCATTGTCAAACAATCCTTTTCACCTTACAAGGTCCTAGGGGGCATTATGTGGGGAAATACAGTAGTACACATCGTACTACCCAGAAGAACAACGCAGCTACATCTTTTGCAAAAGGGAGAGATCCAAAAATGTTCATATTGCGAGTGTTGTAGCATCTGACACATGGAAAGTTCCAAATACTGATGAGAAGTAATGGTGCACATGCAATCTTGTTCACTGAACAAGGAAAGGCTCACAGCAACAGGCAAGATAAAAAGAAGAATAAACAAACAAAAACAAGGGGAGGCGAGAAGGGCAAAAGGCGTGAGGGCATGATGAGCCGGCGCACCTGTGGTGACGTTCCAGGACAAGATGGTGTGCGCCTGGGGCTGGCTGCCTGACAGAGCAACAAAGCCGAAGAGGAAGAGAGAGTCCGATGCAGTGGGCTTGAGAATGGAGCAGAGGGACACGCTTGCTGTGAGGGTGGGGGTGAGGGGCTGCACGGGGTCAGAGGAGAGGAAGACTCGGAGAGTGCCGCCGCTGGTGGGGTCGTAGCGGATCCAGGTGTGCTTGGTTTGGGCGTCGTTGAGGATGAGAGGGGCCGTTGCAGAGGCGAGGGACACAGGTGAGCCGCCCACATTGACGCCCACGTGGTTGTCGTTGGGGTCGCTGTGCTTCACACTCAGCACCGAGTCAAACTCCACTCCCACACTCCGCCGCCCCACCCCTCCCAGCCCCACACTCGCCCCCTTGCCGGGAGAAGCTGCTGCCACCACAAACGCAAGCCCCTCTCCACCACTCCCATGATTCCCTGGAGTCATGGCAAAGCTGAAAGCAGCAAGGAAGCCCAGCTCAGTTCCACAGCGAGAGCGTTTGTCAGGGAAGTGGAAGAGGCGCAGGGTGGGAGAGGCAAACGCTGCACCCTGCTGGTTCGGCGTCCCTGTTGTGAGCAGAATGGAGCCATTGGAAAGCACAGAGGCAGAGCCCCAGAGAGACACATAGGCAGATCCCGACTCCAGAGATGCCCCCGTGGCTGCAGGTGCAAGGGAGGAAAACATATGGGGATGATTGTGTGCCAATCAGTTTTTATCATGATCGTCGTGCAAGCTGGTAATTTGGCTTGTAAATAGCCAACCCAAAATTGATCTGGATTGAACCAAGTGATGGAGCTCAACTGAAGTCGCAGCATAAGAGATAGGTTGCCCTGTGGAAATTCCCTTACATAGTTGGGGTGAAACCCCAACCAAGTGTAGGTGACTAAATTTTAGGGTAAAATATAAGAAGTGAACCTAAGCTGAACACATCGTGTACCTTACTCAAGAATAGGTGGATTCATAAGCCGAGGCCCGGCATAGCGGGTGAAAGATAACTTAATAATAGTAGAGAAAAAGACTAGCCTACTCCAACATTGCAGGTGTGGAGCAGGTGCTCACCTCCAGCCACACAGGCGTTGGTGTTGCTGCTATCAAGCATGTAGTTGGGATCGCACACACACTCCCCTTCTCCAATGAAAGCATTTACCGAGCAGTAGCCATGCCCCCCACACACAGGGCCAGTAGCTCCGATCTCCACCCCACAGAATGCAGCACAAACAGCAGCAGTCCTCTGGGTGGAAGCACGGCCGCAGACGCTTGCAGAGGCAGCAAGGCAGTTTGCATCGGTAGTCCACGTGACGGCTGAGCAGTTTTTGAACTTGACCTCCCCGTGGGTGAAGAAATTGGTATCCACTTGGTACTGCTCGAGGGTTGAAGAGGCTGGGCTGGGCAGACGGCCAGAAAATTGGTTCCAGGAAAGGAATCTGGCAGAGGGAGATGGACGGCAGGAGGGACAACGGGCAGGGAGGGGGCACGGAGGTTGGAGACACGTGTTACATTGGCAATGAGCAAGTCTAGCGAATAGTGGATAAAGAGGGCCGAAGTATATGTTGGAACAGCTCAGTCACTAACCACCGAGCTAAAAGGGCGTGTTACGTAGCGGGTGCGTGCGCCCACAACCCCCAAGGCCATCTTGCCTGTAGCCCTTCCCCAGGACCAGTAGGCCGATCCCAGTGCTCCTTCCAACAGTATACATACAGTAATCAGACATTAGAAAGTGAGGTGTGCTTTTGATGCAAGCTGGCACACACAGCAGAGTGGCACCCACTGTGGGTGACCCACAGCCGGGTGGTATCCAGCAGAGTGATACGCACAGCAGCGTGATACGCACAACATAGCAACATGCACAGCAGAGTGATACACACAGCATTCTGAGGTTCCTCATCGTTCGTGTGATGGGCTCTATGGTTCCCCAGAACTGGTTGTTTGTCAGAAAACTGAGTAGCACGTGGGTGGTGCACGCACATGCATGGGGCACGCACATGCATGGGGAAGCAATGCATCCAGAGCAAAAATAGGTGGATTTTACAGTTCTGGCACCTGGAGGAAGCGATTGTGCAAAAGTAGTGCCAGCTAGAAACCTGGAACCAGTAAAGGGCAAGGCGGCGAAGCAACTTCAAGATTCAAGAAACAAATGCCCAAACCAACTCATGTGAACAACTTCTGTGATTAGCAACTTCTGAAGAACAATCACGCATCGAGCTTAGCACTGCATCTATAATATATACAGGTACTGCAGCTTGGAAAGGTCGCTGAGGGAGCTTGGGACTGTCCCGTAGAACTGATTGCCACTGAGGTCCCTGCACACACATGCTTCAATGAAGGTGAGTTCCTGATTCGGATGCGGAATGCCAGGTGACATGCAGACCTGCGCCACCTGCACCACCTGCATCACCTGCTGCAGAGCCATCTGTTCTGCATCTGCCAAAGCGACTTATGCACCAAATCAAGGGCATGCATTCGGCAATGGATGTACAAGAGCATTAGGTTCGTTAGCTTTCCAATGGCGGTGGGTATGGATCCTGACATTGGGTTGTACGACAGCGACCTGCAGAGATGGCACAGAGAGAGAAGAATGCTCTGGCGCTGGCTGAGATTATGAACAAAATGGATTATGCGGGGTGGACATACAGGGGGGGGGCACGTGGTTGGAAGAGATGGGGACGTTGTAATGAGTCGATTTTTGAGTCGACTCAAAAATCGACTCATTACACACGTTGGCTCATAAGCAGCAGGCGGCAGCCTTGCCATGAACGAAACGCCGTCTTTCCACTAGCATGCTAGTGGATGTCGTCCTCTGCTCCTTAGGTGGTTGTCCGCGTTAACACTTGAAAACGTTCAACAAGCGCTCAGACTGTCATGCACATTTGGTGGGGAAATGTACGCACATGGACATTGTATACGGCCCATGCTGACACCTTGGGCGGATTGTGCAAGGCTAACATGGGTCTAATCAGACAGGCCCCCATGCCCTTCACCCACTTCCCCCAGTCAACTGCGCTCTCTGGGGCCCCCCACCTACTCCCCATTCTTGCCCCCCAACCCCTTGAAAATCCATCCCCCACCCCCCCCACCCCTCGACTCGAACCCATGCACCCCACCCTCCTACAACGTCTCTTTATGCCATCGACCACTACCTAACCCCCACCCACCCCCTCCATTGCCCCCAACTCCCTACAAGCTCCCAGATGCATTAGAATAATAATAATAAAAAAAAAAATCAGGGTTCTGTCGAGTTTGTTGCAGTGACCTACTAAATGATGTGATACCATCATCGTAAATTTCAGTATACTGCTGTAAGGCATTCTTCTCAGGCCCTATGTTCTGGCTTTCATTCCGATCCTTTTTTTTCTTCTCATCATATTACTGTTCCTATGCGTGCCTCTGCTCCCAGGCAGCAACCTTGGCATCGAATCTTGAGCACGGCACCAAGATGCTTCAATGCACATCAAATCACCGTCCTCACGACCCTCTGTCCTGGTCGACCCATCATCCAGTGGAGCAGTGTAAGCTCAAACTTCACCAGTTCACTCAAGCTGAATTTCAGGCAAGCGATTGACACGTTGAGTCTAGCAAGGGAATGTGGCCGAGACACACTGGAAGGGCACGCGTGCAATACAATACAACAAGCACACTTATGGATTACAGGTAATCTAGCAGTAGGAGATCACCCAGTGCAGCAGGTATGCTTCCCGACAGCTGGTTGCTGGAGGCCATTCTGAGAAGAGATTGGTGGGGGGGGGGAACAGGGATCAGGGGCCATGGGGAGCTCAAGTACGCAAGAACTTATGCGGAGTGGTGTAAGCAGAGGGGTGCAGAATATCATGTGAGGAGAAAAGAGAGAACGTGAATGGAGACAACGCGCACGTGGACGGAGCAGCCGCCCGCCCGCATCACTTACATGGCTCTAAGCTTCGGCAGCGATGCCAGTGCTGTTGGAATAGAACCGCTTAGAAGGTTATCCATTAGGATACTAGGGGTGGGAACCAAGTAGACCATAGACCATGCACCACCATGCACCATGCACCTTCAAATTACTGTACAGTAAGGGGAGTTAAAAAAAGAGCTATCAATTCTCTTGTTTAACATCCAGAGCAACAATGGCTATTGGAGGGCTCCAAACGTGAAGATTGCAACCTGCACACCACAACATGGGCACATGAGTTGCTTGATTGATTCAAGTAGCTTTTAATCTTTCAGCATTCTCTCCAGACAGCACAGAAGTCACATGATGCAGAGCATGTGAGGAGCTGCACTAGCTGTGTGGGCAATGAACTCACGAAGAGAGGTGGCAAGTCTGAAAGACTAGCATTCGAGGGAAAGCATTGTATATAACAGGAGGCAGGAGGTCTATAGTACAAGCAAGGAGCACAGAAATGGTTGGAAGGGAATCTTCTCTCTTTGGTTATAATTGTGGCCAATGGGAAAGATTGCTTGGAGGAGAAGCAACCCCAAAGTGTGGTGGTTGCTGATTGGTTGAGTCTTGGGACCACTTGGTTGGAAAATGCCAAATCTAATCTTGACAAACCCCAATTGTGGTTGGGGTGAAACCCAACCAACAACCCCCCAATAGGTGAAATGACTACACTCCCTATTGTAGCCTATGTATGTTGTTCATATTATATTACAACAAAGTCGCCTCATACTGCAGAAAGGGCAAACCCCGATACTCATGCACTCGCAATAACAACCACGACTGTTAGACCCGAGGCAGGGATGGGGTGAGTGAGAGAATCTCACAGGTCTGTCAGAGAATCGAGGGCTGAAAATGAGTCTGGAATTGACCCTGTCAGCTGATTTCCTGCAAGCGCGCTGGAGCAAGAAAGCCCCCCCCATGCACATGCAAGGTGGACGGATGACAGGGTGGAGACGGACGGAGGGATGGGAGGGCATGAGAGCACAAGAACGCAGCAGAAACGAGGAGAGTCAATCATGAAACAAGTCCCATGTCACACCGACTGCAGGAGTGAGGCATGGGAGTGAGCATGTGGCCAGTGTGTGCCATGCGAAGCAGCTTCAGGTGAGACCCAGTGGCGCATTTGTGACCTGCGAGAGAGAGGCACACAAGGCCTGGCATGTTTCAGTGGCCTCACAGGTGTGTGAGGCCACGCAGGTGACCAAGGGAGTCGGGGATGGTGCCACTCAGCTGGTTGAAACTCAAAACCCTGCGCTTGACAGCAAGGAAATGCAGGTACACAGCGCAACACATCCATACAATATTCGGTGTTCGCACACTATTCGATATTCGGCCAAATACCCAAATACAAAACGAATTCAAATTGGCTGTTCATTCGCAGGTATTTTGTGATCAAATATTCGTCTTGGATGAATATTCGCGCCCTGAATATTCAGGTTATTCGTAGACTATTCGTATCCGACATGACGTCATATCTCGCCCTGTTGTCTTGTAGGCGGCAAGGGGAAACGTCAGATACTGAAGAAATCAGTTGTCAGGGATTAAGGTGCGGCTACAGTACACAGCTCAACGAGCTCCAATGACCTAAAATAGCGCAACTAACATCAGATACTGAAGAAATCAGTTGTCAGGGATTAAGGTGCGGCTACAGTACACAGCTCGACGAGCTCCAATGACCTAAAATATCGCAACTAGAGGGAGATTAGCCGGGAGAAGCTCGAGGTTGTGAGAGAGATGTAGGTAAAGTAGGTGAGCGTTGAGCGTTAAGCTCGACTTTATACTCCTTGACACCGACCTGGGCTAGGCCTGGGCGAGCAGCAGAAATCAAGTAAACCGTAATTCGTAAGATCCAGTAAGCAGAATAGGTTCGTGTCAGAAAAAGGCGTATAGCTCGAGTATTCGAAACACATTTGTATTCGTCTTGTATTCGCCAGTATTCGACTCGAATTCGCATTTGATTGCGAAGCAACTATTCGGGCAAATACAAATTCAGCTTGTATTCGCAACTATTCAAAAAAAAATATTCGTATTCTAATTCTAGCGGTTTTTACCGGCTAAGACAAGCTAGACCATAGACAAGCTAAAAAAATAGACAAGCTAGAAAATAGACAAGCTAGACAATAGACAAGCTACATGGACTAGACAGGCAGGACAGGCTAGTTGAAAGCCAGGGCCTATCGTCATTGTCATTGGTCCCTGAACATTACATCAACATTGTCGTTGCAGAATGCCCACGCAATTGTCTGTGAAGCTGGACCTTGTGGCGAACAAATTGTGTACAAAGGCTTATTTGTAGAAAAATATCGTACATTTGCTGAAGCAGTGACATCTCGCCCATCGATGGAGGAATGCTTCCGGAAAACAAGTTGCCGTCAAAATTTCTGAAGGTGCACCGGGCAGGGAAAGTGGTGTTACTGGGGAACCGAGCACACAGCTGACATGCAAGTGACGGTACACGGATGTTCACAAGCTGACCTCGTGATGCATGCAAGTTGATGGCGAATTAGCATCCAGCTAAACGCAAAGTCCAATAAGTGATACTGTGAGCTCATGTGAAGTGGCAGAACCCTGCCAAAAGCAGCTACTTCAATGCTAAGGAGCCTTTTCGTTCCGCTGCTACCTCAACACGCCCCGCTCTTGTTGTTCGTATGGAGAGGCCTTGAGAGCGCCTCTTATGCCACGAGCCACTGGAATGTCAATGCCCCCCCCACCCCACCTCCCCCTCCCCCCCCTCTCCCCCCCCCCCCCCTCTTCAAGCAAATGCCTATTCATTTCTCCACCATGATTTCGGTCTTGCGCTTGGAGTTTCAGTCCATTCTGACGAAACAAAATGTCATCCTGTCTGGTGGGCTTTAAGTGTGCTCTGCCTTGTGCATGGGCTTGCCGGTTACCTGGAGAGCAAGAGGGGTACCTACCTGACTTCGACTTATGAGCCTACCTGACATTTAGTGCCACCCCGCTTGAGAGAGGCGCTCATTGGTTTTACTCTATACTGAAATTTCGAGAAAGCTTCTGCTCATTGTTGTGATGAAAGAAATCGCCAAGCTGTCAAACCTGCCCCCTGGCAAGTTTCCGGCACAATTAGCGAACTTTTAGCTGAAATGATAAAGTAACAACTAGATTCTGATGACCTTTTCAGGTTTGTATTACTGTGCTCTCCTAATTACGTTTTCCCCCATCCACCAAAATCTTTCACACCCCTGCAAACCCAGCAACGTTTTGCACAAAACACATGTTTAAACAACCCTTCTCGCAGTGGAAAAGGGAATGTGAGGGAAAGCAGCAAGCAGGACTGGATGTGATTCTCACAAGACAGTGAGGGTAGTGAAATTGCCAAGCTCGCTAGGAAGAGAGCCGTTGAAGAAATTCTGCCGAAGATTCCTGAGGATGGGGTAGGGGCGAAGGGGAAACAATGGAGGAAGGGAAAGGGAGTAAATGACAGAGAACAAGCATCATTACCAGGCCACCCCATCCCCCCACTCACCCGCTTGGTCCACCTCCATCCTCCATCCACCCCCTCACCTTGGGCTCCTGGCCAATTTTTCCTAGTTTGCTGTAAAACACCCCTTATGTTGAATGACGGGAGCAATTAGAGTGAGAGCGAGTGAGTGACAGACAACAGGCCCATGCTCTGTCCCCCAAGCATTATAGGTGCAGGTCTCTCCATTTAGATGTGTGATGCTCATGATCAATCAGTGGTGTTCAATCAGCAGCTCAAAGGAGCGTTGAATCGCAGGAAACTCAGTAGTGTTGAGTTAGTGAGATATGGGCTTACAGGTGTGTCAGGTGCACCAAGCTGGAAAGCAAATCGATTGGCCCTGAGATCCGATTGACACCAAGTATACTAATGAGGAAGCACACAGGAAGGAGAGAGAAGGAATCCAAATCGGTGAGCAGAAGGACACCAACAATAATGCACATGGAAGTAAAGTTGTCATACATGCGGTGCTTCTTTTCTTAGGGTAGGAAGGTAATTGGCAAAAACTGCATTCACATGTAGGCTACGCATGCATTGTGTAGCCTATATGGATACGTGTATGTATATCCATATAAATGTACGCATTGCATGCATTGCACGCTTGCAGCCTGCCAGCCACACAACTTAAGCCAAAAAAGTAGAGAGTCAGCAACTAGATTGGTGGGCAGAGGGTAAGGTCTGAATGTGGACAGTTTCCAACATTGAATACAAACAGGTCTGAATATTGTGTGCATACCCTTCAACCTGGAAAAACAGCTTGTTGCAGCTTGCACACACGTGAAAAGTAGCAGTCTAAGTGCTCGGGTCCCAAAATGAGCATGCGTGATGACACCCACAGGTATTCTAAGCTGACCAGACGACTGAAGCCGTCAGGAAGGGTGCCTGAAATAGAGTTGCCGCCAAGGTTGCTGAGGGGTGTGAGGTGAAGTGAAGACAAGCGAGAGGCGGAAAAAAACAAGAAAAAACACAAACAAATCATGCAAGAGACAAGCAAGCGAGATGTGTGGTATGACTAGGGAAACGCCTAGAGGACACAAACGGGGGTGCTGAACAGAACGCATTGGGTTGAGTTGAGGGAAGCGGAGCACTTTCGAGAAGGGTTAAAGAAAGGCAGCGTATCTTCCTTTTTTTCCCCTGTACGGTATGGTACCAGATTAAATGGTAAAAGGTTTTCGGGGTTGGGTAAAAAATAAGGTATTTTATTTCAGCCGATTTTTTCAAAATATGCGTGAAATATCCCGGCGAAATGTCCGGATCTCGCGTTTCAGTGGGTGAAATGCGCGGACCTGGCATTTCGCCAGCCCAAACCAACGCGCGGATCTGGCATTTCGCCAGCCAAAATGCGCAGAAATACATAAGAAGAAAATTCGTTCCGAATTCTTCAAAAACTAAAACGGCACTTTTCCCCCAAATTTACCCAAAAAACGATCGTATAATACGGCCTGTATTATATAATATCCGTATTTATTCACCTTGCTTGAGAGGGCAATAATCATTGGTGTGTGCGAGGGGCAGACGAACCTTTGACCAGTCTGCCGTGGAGAGGGAGGCTTACAGAGAGACCAGAGATGGCAAGTCGCAGAGGGTGTTTGGGAGGGGCCCGGTGAGTTGGCAGAAGAGAAGCGTGCTGCAAGGAGATGCAGGGAGCAGCACAGGGGGAAGTATAAGGTGAACTTTCATTCTGCCCTCCAGCGTCGCTTTGGTTCCAGCTAATTTTAGGAAACTATCATACAGCACCACTTGCACTTGGGTTGAGCTCAAATCCCGCCCATCACTCGAGCCTGACTCAGACATGGACTAATGTTGCCTGCCATTGCTCCATTCCTTCTTATGATACAAAAATTCTTTCCCTTGCACAGTAAACACTCTCTCCTAACCCACCCTGCAATGCAGCCCAGAATTACAGCCACCACAACTGAGTCCAAGAGACATGATTTTCTCACAGGTATCTGAGACGCGTAAACCGGCTGATCATGGCAGGTATTGGTGCCTGAAAGTTCTTTAAACCCAGCTCTCTGCGATAAAATAGGCATTGGGCACAAATTTCCATAAAATTCTCCAGTGATGACAGAATAATATAGAGCTGTTGTCCCCATAGCATGTGGGACAAGGAGGCAATCACAGATCAGCATTGCATCATCACAAGGGGTGAAATGGACTGGACCCCGGCAACAGACACATGGGTGGGTGCATGCATGACACATAAGGAAAGGTGTATGCATGACACATAAGGAAAGGTGCATGCATGACACATAAGGAAAGGTGCATGCATGACACGACACATGAGGGACAGGTGCACGCATGACACAAGAGCGGAACGGAAATCGCTCACATGGCAATGACGCGCCCATCGCGGTCACATCGGATGCCCTCCATGGCCCTGCAGTCTGCATAGCTCAAGCTCCAAGTGTCGCTGCCGTTGAAGCCGTTCCACTCGCTCGCCAGCCATGCCAGGTTGGACACTGCACGGAGAACACAAGAGGTGGGGCAAGGGCGTGCTTCGGCAGTGGTGGAGTGAGGTGCAGTCAGGAGGAGTGACCTGCAGGCGACAGTGCCAATCTCACGGAAAGATGGAATTCAATCTGAGCCTACCATCTCTTGGGTGCACTCGCACTGCCGCTGCACCCCAGGGTGGCACAAGGCATGCCAGGCTTCCCAGCAGCAGCAGCAGCAGCAGCAGAGACAGTTCCACCCCTTGTCGCAACTCCTGCCGGGGATGAGCATAGCAGCCACAGTGGCGGTGGTTAGAGATATGACGATGATGTGGTGATGATGTGCAGGTATGGATGGGTGACAAGGGCACGGACGGGGTGGTGCACCACGCCCCTGCCTCTCTTCCAAGACTCTCCGAGTCATCACATCGTGCTCCACCTGCGGCCCTCAGCGCATTGAGGCAGGGCGAAACAGTTCACTTCACAGGGTGTTGTGTGAAGCTGGGTGCTGCAGGCAGGCAGCTTCACACTGTGCAACCTTGCAGACAACGGCTCCGCCATTCGTGCACAGCCGTAACGATGTTACAACACAGCTGGCCACGTGGCTGATAGTACTCGTTTGCAAGGAGTGCGAGCCTGTTGGCATCATAGTAAGGCGGTGAGTTCCGTTGCAATTGAGGCCCAGCAGAGGCAATCGCCTGCTGCTGGGGGCAAAGTCAGGGCTGCTCGGAGCACGCCTAGTATCAAATGAGTCTGGGGATTCATATCGAAACTTGGATTGGCCTTCTGATTCAAGAAGCGGTGATTTACGATGACGATAAGGCGGTGAGCGCCGTTG